GTCCTGTGAAATTAAGAGACTTTGTTATATTTTAATTTTGTGTTTGTAAATTCTGTAGATGTAATTAAGTTATTGTTAATTATCTATTGGTTTAATTTAAGTGGCTATTGTTCTGGACAAACAATACTAAGGAAGGGGTAGTGTTACGACAGCGGAGTCACGTGACACTGGTAACACGTAATGAGTATCTAGAAGGATTGAAGAACATCACCAATAATCCAGTATTTGCTAGACGCCCTCTATTCCTGTATATAAGCGCGCCAGATAAAGCGAGACAATTAATTGGAACTGGAATAGCAGACAGAGAGATTGAAGATATAGACAGATAATCGAGTCAAGTCGTAAGTAATGTGCGTGAATCGTTGTGAATTATAGCGTGTGTTTAAGTTAAAGTGACTGGGGAAATTAAGTGTATTGCAAAGTTGTATTGAGAAAGAATAAACTAGTTTTATTTAAGAAAGGACTTGTATCGCTGAAGTTCTTCGGAAAGAATTTTATGGGAAATTAACAAACGAACAGAAACGTAACACTTCCTTGATAGTGCTGGTCAGGCTTTACCATGTTGCATACGTCTCAGCGTAAAATATGTGTTCCAAGTACAAAAACAAAGTACAATTTTTACCATCAAGTTGGTTCCAGTCTTTCTTATTTTCTTATTTTTCGTTTTAAGTAAATTTGGATATTTTTCACGATCTTCTAAGAGGAATAATAATTATTTTCCTTCCTCATCAACTATAAAATCGTTTAAAAAGAAATAAGTCCATAGCTAAGGAAAATAGATTGGAACTGGGACTGAAAGACTGACTTTTAGGTGCGGAACCGAGACCGAGGACTGGTACTGAGACAGCTTTTACTATTACCAATTTTATTGTTGTAAGCCCATAGGCTTACTGCTGAGCCTCTGAGAAGTCATCTATCGGGGGATATAGTTCTTATATAATTCATTTATGAAGAAAGCGTTGGGTTGAAAATCAAAAACTCTGTAGGAATATATTTCTTTTTCCACTAGTATTATAAACCGAAGTTGGTTTGTTTATTGTTAATTACAAAATTACACAAAGAGCTATCTGTGAGCTGCCCACCACAGGTATCGAAACCCTGTTTTTAGGGTTGTAGACCTATAGTCTTAACACTGGGTCACTGAGGGGCTAAACCGAAGTTAATTTCTTTTAAAACATTAGTTTTAACTTTTTCCGAAAGAGGGCTAAAGGATTTACTTTTTAAATGTTTGATATTTTAGAAAGTATTGAGTAGTACAGCAGGTTAATTGTTATTTATTTATTGTTACTCAGTCATTGAATATACACGAAACTAAGCTATTTAACAGTATTTGTGGTAAAAATAAGATATTATGAATACCGGTTTTGGAAAAATAGTATGGTGGGGATTTTCACCTGCTCTGAATTTTTTAAATGAAAGTTATATATCAGGTAAACTAAACTTGCCTGAATAAGGTATGATTACGTTGGGTTACTATAGTAACGAGGTCAAGATGTTGTCTAACAAAAACACTGCTGTACTTTGCGAAAAAGTTTGGATTACCAATACAGCCTACCTTTATTACCTTTTTAAAATTTTATCTTCAATAACATTCAGATTTTACTAGGAAGTGATTATACTTGATAATAATTAATAATTGTCGTTCAATTTGATTGTCTAAATTATTTCAATTTATATAAGACAGTGTTTTCCAAACTTTTTTTTTACTGATGTCAAAGATGAGACCCTGACCCACTGATCATGATTTGGATAACATCCGTATTGAAATATGCAGTATATATGTATTTTTTTGGTACAATATTTTTTATGTTCTTAATTATTCTTAATTGGGTGAAACTCTCACAACACCTGTAACAACTTGCCACAACACACAGTTTGGAAACCACTGATATAAGACAAAAAGAGCATATCCCATAGTATTACTATTATTAAGAGAAGGTGTGAGGCCATTTTTCATATACCAGAAGCTGCAAAATGGTCAAAACATTAACATGTGTAAAAAAAGTTTGTATATGTGTTTTCTTTAAACCTGTTATGACACATTTTACATGAAATGTTTGTAGGCAACAGATAAGACCATCTCCAAATTCTACTGGTTTTGGCACAGTTACTGGGTTTTATAAAAAACTTATGAAGACAAATTTATCATTTCTAGGTCATTTATTTGCTAAATTATGGGTCACCCAATTTCACCTTGACACTTACCTTAATCCTTTTAAAGTGCCTTTATTTATATGAAAAATTTTACCTTTAAAGTATACCCTCTTCAAAATCAATAAAAAATTGATCAGCCAGAGTCTCGGAAAATTTGGAATTGGAAAATTTTTTAGTATTTCAGATACAATCTATTGGATGATGATATTCAGGGCGGACTGGTTTATTTCTGTGGTATTGCTGAATTAGAAGAAAATAATTACATATGAGGTGAAATTCTACTCACTGAAAGTGGCATACAGATTTTGTTATTGAAATATCAGTGTTATCTGTGTCACATCATCTTAATCCCAAATGAACATTTAGCATAATTGAATCTAATGTTGAAAAATTGTGTAGCATTTTTTTCTATCAGTTTGAGTTAGTTACATCCAAAACTCGCTATATCTAAAATATAGAGAAGTGTTATAAAGTATAAAGTCACCCTATCATTTTCTTTTTTTGTCTACCAGTGAATTTTGTTTTAGGAAAAGGTGCATAGCTGTATATCATCCGTTTGCAGTTGTGATATTGAAAAAACTCACATTCAGTGGATAATAAGGGACCCTTTGGTTCTTCAGGCTGTCATTGCACACCCATACTTACATTATGTTGCACTTAATGTAATTAAAAATCATTTGCTAAGTATTTGTTTAATTTATCAAATAATCCATCCAAGTCGTACTGTAGTTCCTCAATATTCATAACCAAAACACTGACATTTGAAGTACTTCACAAGTAAAAAGGATTCAGTTTAATTAGATCTACCTGTATTAATAATAACCTTTTGCTTACTTCCATCTAACCATCCTACAGTCTAAGTTTGAGTCTTATCTAATCTTATGTGTAGGATCTTGCAAAACAAGCTGTTTTGATAATCTAAGTCTACACCCTCTCTTTTGTCTGGATAGTAAGTAGCATGTTTTGTGGAAAAAAACGAAGAATGACTATGGATTGCATGCAAACATTATTGATGGTGAACTAAGGAAGTCAAAACGTTATTTGATTTGTGCTTTTCAAATAAAAGTTTTCCATATCCATATCAGCCATCTCTATTATATATATATATTTACTTCAAGCGTATTCCTTGTAATCATGAAACATTATTGGTATTTTAAAGCCAATAATACAGCAATGTAAAAAATATGTAACAGAGTTCACTTTATGTATCTATTACATTTAAACAGATTCTGACAGACTGAAATATAGTTAATAATGCTTACTTAAGGTTTGCAATTTGATAAGCATACAAAATAGCATAGATGCGGAATCTAAAGTATTTGGAGCATTGACCTCCTAACCTACTAAATTCTTTACTCACTGTTAGTTAAAAGATATTTTTAGTTTATCACAATGAGTACAGGTTCTGAAGCTATATTAATACTATTTGAAAATGGCATTTTTGCATGAGAATAGTAATAGTACCAAAAAAGAGGAAAAATCATACAATAATGTTTTTGTATTTATTTTACCAATTTAGATTTTTTGTTAAATATATTAAACTATAATAAAATAAAATGCATTGTACCTGGTCTTTATGTCTCTGCTATATAAAAACTTTTGGATTATAGCAAGATAAATTTTAGGAAACATTTTTCTTTTGCCAAGGACTAATGGAATATTTTCACAATGTGAAGAACATATAGATGATATAGCTGATAACACAATTTGGCAAGGCCTGTTGTTTATTAGAATTCATAATTATTTTTCGTAATAATGTCTTGTTTCTGAATGAAGACTTCATCTATTGTCTAGATTCTTCATTGTTCATTGCACCCATGTTTTTGAGTTTTCTGCAGCATTGCTGTTATGTGTACTGGAGTCTACACAACAAAGTTCACATAAAAATATGTGATATAAATACAACACTATCTAATGCATAAATTTCCCACAATGTTGTTTCTTACATACATAAGGGGTAGTTATGAAAAGTATGGCTGAAAATATTTTAGTCTCGCAGCACTATAATAGCAATGAACATTTCACTTGTATGGACAGTTATTTCTCTGGGGCAAGATTTAATAAGGAATGAAGTTATCATTATTTTTTTCTTTCAGATGTAGGCATCTGTTGGTAAATAATCATTATTGCATCTATTATCATTCATACGATAATGTTATGATGTAACTCAACAGCCACATGATATTGAATGTACAAGGTGTTTATTGTTGATTGCTTTGTAAAATACTGTAAACATGTGATATCCACGTATACTGGTTCATGTTAGTAACAACACTGTGGGATGTACACATTTCTTCGAGGCACCAAGGATATTGCCAGAAATGAAATAGATAGGATATCTAGGCTTTTATGTACCAAATGTTTATAATTTACATTGAAGGCTGTATCCGGTGCTTAAAAATATCAAAATTTGTAATCAAATCCATTAGCTGTATTAATGTATATGTTTTATGAATGTGTGTAATGTATAATGGAAATTAATAGGCATTAATCAGAATACTTCATTTTGCAGATAGAAGTGAAAGAATGAAAATGTCTGATGAAAAGATGGGTATGTATAATTGTTATCAGATACTACCTCATAGCATGGAATGGGTATGTATAATTGTTATCAGATACTACCTCATAGCATGGTAATGGGTATGTATAATTGTTATCAGATACTATCTCATAGCATGGAATGGGTATGTATAATTGTTATCAGATACTACCTCATAGCATGTAATGGGTATGTATAATTGTTATCAGATATTACCTCATAGCATGTAATGGGTATGTATAATTGTTATCAGATACTACCTCATAGCATGGATAGGGTATTATGTTTCTTGGATTTTGAATCTTATTTGATGTCTCTTTACTTTCTTTTTTCTACATAAAATTAGGTGTGGAGAGAGGATATATTACATTACAAAACATACATACCTTTGCTCCCAGTTAAAGCTATTACTCAACTTCCAGGGTTTCTTCCTTTGACCATCTAAGCATTGGTCTGATTTTTTCTCGCTTGCTTCAGTCTTTTATACCCTACTTAAGTGCCTTTGGTGATATATGTCTTGTGACATTCTCCACTTATGTCAATGCACCCTCTATCCTGGTACTGTATAAAAGCACCTCATTCACATAATGTCATCACTTTTTCTCAACAAAACATTCACTTTAAGTGTTCTTAGTGTCATATAGTTGAATTTTGTACAGAAATTTTTTTTTTTGCAGTTGGCAAGCTGATATATGTTATAAATTCCCAGCTCCTCTCCCTTCTCTGATATCTAGCATCGTACAATAACTGGGAGGGGGGTTGAGACTGTCAGTGATCTTATTCCTAGTGAGATGGAGACATGTATTTGGTTCAGTGGTGTTCCTCCAGGGTGGCTCTGAGGCTGCAATTGCAGGTGATCCTGAACATTCTGGGGAGAATTTTGATTAACTTTTTCCTTTGCCTTCATTTATTCTGTTAGCTTCTCAGTCCCCTATGGGACAGTGGTAAACTTATGGACTTGCAATGCAGAAGTCTGAGGTTCGATTCCCTGTCAGGGACATAGCATTCGGCCCAACGTTGTTTTGCTCTAACACAACAAACTTACCTGACAACATGTTGTTCCTAACAATGGTAATCAAAATAGTCTTTACAAGACATCAAAAAGGAGGCCACTTTGGGACCAGCCACTTTTATGTTTTTTATTTCAATTGTTACATTGGGCGTGATGTTTTGGGTCTTTTCCTAGTGGCTTTTGAGCCTGCACTAACTTGATGGCTGTAAGGTATGGTCACAAATATTTAGTTTTCTCTCCATTCACAGACATTATGGTTCATGCAAGAAGGTTTACTGCTCAGTTATGAGATGGGACACCTAGGCTTTAACCACCATGATTGTTGGAACTACATGATTTAGCCTACCACTGCCAAGTGGATGTATATTTTGACTTAAATACTACATCTGCTCCTCAAAATTAGGGGTTCTAAGGTGGACTTGGTAGTTCTTCTGAATAGATCAGTGTCCCTTGGTGGGACAGGGGTATGTCTACGAACATACAACTCTAACATCCAATGTGTTGTTTTCCTAACACTAAACCTTGTTAGAAAACTCACAGGATCTCCAACTTCATTACTGATGAGCTGGAAACATTGTTAGTATGCTTACTGGTTCAGTTGTTGGCTTCTACATTCATCCCTGTTGTTGTTGGTGTCTCCACTTTTATTTGTGCCAACAGGGGGTCATAGTTCCACCCATTTTTGAGGGTCTCGACCCCCAACATCAACTCCTTGGTACATTGGTGCCCACAGTACATTCTGTCCATATCCATGGGTTCCACTGCTCAGTCGGAATGCTGCTGGTGGTGTCAGGGATTATTGTATGCCTTTGGGTTCTATAGGGGCTTGGCTCCAAAAAATTTTGGATGTGGGGTAACCTTACCCTTAGATCCATGAGCACTACAGGTCTTTGAGTCAGGATTAGTCATGCAGTTCACATCTTCAACACCATTGTCTATCCAACCTGTAGGGTTTCTGTTTTCTGCAGATCCTGAGATTTTGGAATTTAGATCTATGGCTATCAGAGTTTGGTTGGTCTAGGAGTAGAGATAGAGAGAAAGTGTTGTGCTAGTTCTTCTGGGGTTTTATTCCTGTCAGTGGTTGGGTCTAAGAGATAGGAGATGGATGTCCAGTCATTGATTTTTCTCATCTATATCAATGCTTAGATTCGTCAAGGTTTACAAGTTACTCCTTCCTAAATCTGAGTTGACTATTTTTTTACTAGGATTGTGGATGTTGAAGTTTGATTTAGTCAGTTCCTATCTGCACATTGCCACAGTGGAGGTATTCCACCACTTTTGGCATTTTTTGTGCACAAGGGTTGGTTACTGCAGTTCATTAGTTTTACTTTTGGACTAGCTTCAGCACCATGTGTGTTTTGCCAATTCATATGAGTTTTTTCGTGTCACCCCCATTCCCTAGCCCTGTGCACACACCATTCTGTGGATGACAGGTTACTGCTGGCACCATCTCATAAAGTGTCTGACTCACATCTGGCTCCATGCTATGAATCAAGAAGCATGATTCTTACTCCCCTATCTCTCTCCCATGGCATGAGTGGTTCTTTCCTTTTGGGGAATGTGGGCATCACTCAAGTCCCTCGTGCCTTTGGGATGAACACACAAGAGATCTTTTCAATGTGCTTTATGGGACCAAAGAATCATAACATCAATTCACTGAATTCTCCAGTTTCTTTATTCAGGATCTTGAGAGGTGGTTAAGTCGAGACAATATTAAGATCTGGGTTCCTCTGTCCCCACCTCGTCAAGAAATCCATATCTTAACAAATCTTTGCTTCAGAGATGGAGTGCATATCTAAACAATCAGGAATTCCATGGTCTGTGCATGGACAATGAGATTTACCTACACAGTGTATTACTCCTTCTTGCTCTTCAAATAGTGATGTCATATGGTCGGGGCTTATTAACTCTTTCTGCACAGGCTCAGACCTCAGGACCGACCTTGTAACCACTTTGTGCTTGTTATAGTTTTCATGGTATAACTTTTGAATTAGTAAGTGTGTGTTAACGAAATTTGGCAGATTATCAGTAAACATTACGATGCTTTCATACGCAAAATATAAATTTTTTTTATTAAGTCCTAAGGTTTGTAAAGAAATGTTTTTCTCATGCTTTTTTTTCTTTTAGCATGTTGCCCATCCAACATGCAAAGTAATTTTCATTTTAAGATTAAAAATACTTTTATGAATCAGAAAATTTTCAAATGCACAATCTTTATAATGTCCAGATAGTTATCAAACATTTCTTTAGAAAAAACATTATATTTTATTAGTTATTTTCAGTAACCGATCTCGTAACCACCATAAAAAATTAGGAAATAAATATAAATTATGCCTCTTTTATTCCAGAATGACAACAGATTATAACATGAAAACATAAATATTTAAATATTTAGACTAAATAGGTTAAATCTCATAACATTATACATTTATAAATATATTTATTATTTTTATTTTATTGACCTTTCAGCCATGCCTGGCTAACAATATAGAAGTTACAATGACACGGCACACATGCACTCATGTTACCGTATCCAAATACAAACCTGACCTTGGGTTTTACAAAGTTACCTGTCTTGGCCGTGTTTCAGTAGACCAGTATTCTGTAAAATACAGTCACATTTCAATTATTATACATTATATATATATATATATAAATTATCGCTATTTAGAAATAAGTTCTTAAACTACATTAATTGAACAAGAGAGATAGCAATACTATACTTACAATAGAGTTGGACTGGTATATTTCTGGAGGTTGGATATCTTCATATTCATGGTGGCTTGAAACTTTGATTCTTCTGGAAGATAACTCTCTTCCTGAGGATCAATCTTTTAACCAAACTTTAGCTCCAGACATGAGTTTTTAAATCATATTTTTTTTGTATTCTTGTACATACAAATAGAAGCTAGGTATTCTTTTTATTAATTAATTTGTACATCTGTAGTGCTCCATCCTTGTTTGGCAGTTATTGAATAGTTAAGGATAAAAGTCACTGAATTTTACTAATGAAAAATGCTTGAATCGTTCTAGAGATCAATGAGATCCTACATAGTATTTTAGGTTAGAAGTCAAATAATTAGACAGTTACTACAAGATATTTAGCAAATGACCAGTAGTGGAATTAAACATTTTCACACATAGTAGATATGGGCAATTAATGGAATTTGGAAATAGGTTAATTGTTGTGCTCATTAATCAATGACATTCAACTAATCTGTTACTCTCACATAAGACTTGTATAGTTGGAATACTCTAAAATATTAATAATCAGAAATACTGATTTATTTTGATTGGTTGATTATTTTTGTCAGTTGTGACACTAATAGATTAAGCTGAACAATATTTAATTAATCCGAAATAATAATAAAAAATCGTAATGGCAATAAATCAAAATTTTGAAATAATTGATATAATTAATAATCCAGAACACTAATTTTGATTAGTTGATAATTTTCATGATTATAATTGATGTCATCTCTGCTCATAAGTAATCAATTATATTGATTAATTGAGTTAATAGTGTTTAACATAACTTAGAAGAGTTGTCGATGTGCACATATTTGGAGCATAAGGTTGCAAGTTGGTGTTTTTAGAGAATAAGATCACTGATTTGAGATGAAAAATACTTGTGCTGTAATTATAGAGATACTAAAGCCAAATGTATTTTCATGCAAAAACAAACAGTTACAGGTAGGGAGGATATTTTGCAGCAGTATTACTCTTTTTATATTTCTTTATTTTATTTTACTTCTATATCATACTGCCATTTTTACAAATCCCAGTACATACTGTCCCACTTTAACCACTGCAATTTTCTTTGTTTTTTGAATTTCGCGCAAAGCTACACGAGGGCTATCTGCGCTAGCCGTTCCTAATTTAGCTTTGTAAGACTAGAGGGAAGGTAGCTAGTCATCACCACCCACCGCCAACTCTTGGGCTGCTCTTTTACCAATGAATAGTGGGATTGACCGTCACATTATAACACCCCCATGGCTGAAAGGGCGAGCATGTTTGGTGGGACGGGGATTTGAACCCATGACCCACAGAATGCGAGTCGACCTCGCTAACCACTTCGCCATGCCGGGCCCACCACTGCAAGTTAATTCCCAGTGTCATATATGAGTGTTTCAGACTTAGTAAATGTTTCAGATAAGTTTTCCTTGTAATCTGAACAGTGCATGTTTCAAAAACATAGAAATGTCACAAACATTTTTGTCATTTTGATGTTATGGTAATACACATGAAATGTTCATACATATTTTTAAAGTCTTCAGTATTATTATTCTGTTTCTTATTTTCAGTGAGATTCACACTTACCTTAGCATACTGAATCAACTTTTTCTCCATTTGAAAAACAGTTTCTAAGAAATGAGTTGGAAATAGTTTAACAGGCACCTTATGCTATTGTTATAATAAACGTTAATTTTTTAATTTTATTACCAAAATACCAACTTATGTAAAATATTTTTCAAGTTTTTATTTTTATGGTTTAAGTTAAATATTTCAGAGTAAGTTAAAAAATTTATAATTTTGCTTTGTTTTTTAATATTTCTTAAGTTTTAATCAGTTTATTAGTAAATAATTTGTATTTTTATTCACTGTATAACATGTATTTTTCATTACTTAAATGTGTTAATTGTTAATTTTCTTTTCAGAGTCACTGCATATTTTAGTAGTTGGAGCTGCTGACTCAAGGCATCTGTTGAAAACAATTGCTAAATCTTATGAACATACGAATCTTCCCTTTGAAGTAAGAGTTTGAAATTAATGTGGCTCATTCTTTTCACTTGATAATGCTAAAAACTAGGGTTTGATCCTTGTGATGGGCACAAGGCAGATAGTCCATTGTGTAGCTTTGAGCTTATCAACAGATTAATGCTTCAGTTGATTGGGAAACACCAAGAATAAGAAAATATCGTAACATAAAACATATTAGTCACAAATGCTACTTACCTCTCTGCATCACTAAAAGCTATTATCTTGCATGCAACCACCATGAAATTTTCTGCACAAGCCTACCTCACAAACTTCCACCCATACATGTGTCTACATGTATTACACTAGCCTATAACATAATCATTATAATAATGTAGCCCATTTATTCCCTCTATCTCTTGTCAACCTTCTACTCTTACCCTCTCTCAACATATGTGGGCTGTCTATTCTCACTTTTCTTCCTGCCATTCTCTTCAACCAAGTTGTCATACTTCTCTACATCTTTCTTCCTTCTTTACCTGGATTTTCATTGAGGGCTTGTCTGTTTTGTCCATTGTAGAATACTGTATGTCATTGTCCACAACCTTCCACCTCTTGCCAGGCAATAATCCTTTCCTTTTGCCCCCCTCCTCATCCAGTCCCTCTCCCCCCTTACCTGAACACATTTGCCTTTTTAATTCAATTTGATTCTTTTATCAAATTTTTTGCACATTGTTTAGTTTTTAACTTGATTCATTTTTACATTTTAATGAATGTTACTTTATAAGATTTTTACCAGTTGTTTGGTGTGGATAGCCACGTTGCTTTGTGCCAAAAAAGGCCAACCAACCAACCCTCTCCCCTACTGGGAATTTTTTGTGGTTCTTTGGCCTGTTAACTGCTTTCTTTTGAGCCATTGGTCTCCTGTTCCTTGTATAATTTTCTCTCAAGACATATTTTCTCATTCTCCTTTCTTGTGGTCCTTGTCATTCAGATATGTATGTCTTATATGCCATCCAAACTCTCTATCATATAGACCAGTTGGTGTTGTTTGCAGTCCACTCCTTTATTCTGAAGACTTGGGCTGCCCAGGAAAACAATCGGATGTTTTCTCCAATCTCTCTTTCCTCTATATTTCATCATTTTACTTTCTTTTCAATCCTTATTGTCTTTGGTGTCCTGTAAGGACTGTTCATTGTTGCCTTACTTGCTCAGACTGCTACTTTCACGGAAACTGCTGTTGACTGTTTCTATTGTGGTGGACCTCCTCCTCTCAGGACTTGTTCCCTTCCACTTTAAATAGTTAAGTTTGGTAATTCATCTATCTTGTATATTCTTCCTTGGGTGAGTCTGACATTACACTTTTTTGCATCTCCTCCTGCTAGTTTTGACATGTTACAAAACAACAACAATAACAGGCAAGACTCACCAGATGATGAGAAGACTCACCAGATGAAATGTTACATGAGAAATTACACCTTATGTTCCTTATACTTGGTATCTGCTAAGGGGTCAGTGTTGCCTCACAGGGAATACTTACCCAAAATCCACATAGAATGAAAATCATTAAACTCATCAAACAGTACCAGATGTAATTCTGCCATTTCACTTGGCTCAAGCTTACTTTCTTTAATTGTAGTAACCTATTGCACTGTCTCTTGGTGGAAACCCATTTCCAGATGATTGTGTATGTTGAGAGTGGTACACACACTCTTCAGAGTTCTCCCCAGTGCATTCCTACTCTCTTTTACTCTTCTATGGAGCACAGGAGAACCCTTACTTCCCCAATCCAAAACTGCTGGGAATGTCACTATGAAGAGTTTCTTCTGTGAGTGGTGCCTTCCACCCAGTAATTGAGATGTACAGCCGGGATGTTTTCTGAAAGAGTAGTACAGGACACATCATTACAATATCTCCCAATAAGTTCGTAGTAAATATGTCCTCATGGATGGGACTTGTATTTGCTTGCAGATGTAAGTATTTCACCAAGATGGAACAGCCTGATGCTCTAGCCACAGAACACATTCTACCAATCTTTGTGACACATTACCACTGACCCTGGGTATACCCAATATTCTTTACTGTAAATCTTTCTGTGATTTAAGTGTAATATATGAGTTGATATAAAGCAACAAGTTGAGCAAAGAATATTCCATGCTTGAGCAAGATGTAGTCTCCCACTGGGTGCTGCTCCTCTAGCTTTAGTGGAAGCGTAGTCGTGATATCAAGACAATGATGCATGTAGCTTGGTTGGAAAACTTTGAAGACAACTACACATTACAATGAAGATTAAAACTATACACAATGTAACATTTCCATTCAAACAAACAACACTTTTTCCCATTGGAATGCTAAGTGTTTTTAAGTGAATTCACTCGTTGATTCGTGTGAAACGTGTTCCGTATAGTACAAGTGTGTATTTATAATCCAACCCATAAGATTTTGTTATTTTTTTTAGGGCTTTCTCTTACTGTTACTCTTTTAGAAAGTAGCTCATCATTGTAATTGTTCAACACTAGTACTTCCACCATTTTTGATGTTGGATTCTAGCTCTTAGTGGTGCAGAGAGGAAAGTAACATTGCTGAAGTTTTACCTGAAAATGTAATTCAGATAGATACTTATTTTTCTGCACCACATTCCCACCCTTCCTCCCCACTTCCATTGCATTTTCTTTTCCTTGTCAAGAATGAGCCTATGACCACAGATATTACTGCACATAGAGGTTGTGTTACCCTCCTATTGGTGGAGAGCTAAATCATTATGATTATTACATCATAGGCTGGCACAATATATGTAGACACATGTAGGGGTGGGACTTTGTTGATGTCTTGTGAACTAATGACATGGAGAGTATTATTTTTTACAATTAACCACATTTCTCCCAATAACCAGATAATAGCCATATACTCATTTGGAGATAATCTAGAACCAGTTCCAACAATATTCCTAAACTGTAATGTAATGGTGGGTTTATAATATGAGTAGAAATAAGCATTGATTAATGTATTAACCTCTACATTCTGTATAGTGGCATCATTAATTCCACACATTATAGGGTATACATCGTATGACCATTTGTACTGTCATGTGCTGAATCATTAGATGTTCGATTTACATAAACATTTAACTGAACGGTGATTGACATGACTGAGTTGTTGTCTTCAACTATAATTGTATCAGTCATGCAAATAACATTAGCATTATGGGAAAAAGTAATGTTTAGAATTCTCTGTGAGCATGATATAAAAATTAACATCATAGCTCTAAAATAATTCTTTCAGTTACTGAGATTACTTCTTCAGTTTTAAGTCTTTCCTATTGTATCACTTATTCTGTCAGGGTTTTTTTTTGTCTTTGATTAGAGAATGAATTTTTGTACTTTGATCCATTAGAGTTATTCATAAAAATAATTTATCATATACTAGAGGTTCCCAAACTGTGGTCTGGGGGTCTGCAGTAATACATCAAGTTTATGAAATTACCATTTACTGAAAGAGTAATGAATAAAATAAAACGTGAGGTTTCTCTCAACTTGCTTATATAAAATCGAAGTATAGAAATAAGATAAATGTGGAGCCAGATTTTCATTTGAAACTGTCAGACATTGACCCAGAGAGTCGAAAGATTGTTTCAGCAAAGCAGTATCATTCTTCACATTGAAATAAGTCATAAGATTTTTTTTTTCAGTTTTCTATATTTAAAGCTCTTTTCATTGTTCTTTTCTTAAAACTAGAATTAAGTTATATAGGTAGTAAAATAAGCATGTGATACCCCAGTTACACATGATAAAAACTATTTTTAACGTGAGGTAGTTTGCCAGTACAGTAAAGAAGTTGAAGGGGTTCTTCTGGTTGGCAAAGTTTAGGAACCCCTGACATATACTGTTGTGTCTGTATTAAATGGTTTTATTTGATATAACCATAGAGGAAACATTAATACTAGAAATAAACGACCTTATAATGCCAAAATTTTGTTTTTATTTATTTAATTAGACACTCAACATTTTGCTTTACAGCTTTTTCAGGAGCATTCACTAAAACACAAACCAAAACTGACTGTGAAACATTGCATTTTATTGTACATACTAGTTATAAAATAGTAGGTATTTTAATATAAAATACGTTACAGTAGTTGTTGTAAAATGTTTAATATTTTTTTTAATAGATGTATGTTGTGGAGAACAGCATCGAGTCTTATGCCCGACAACTGATGTTACTTGGAATAGCCTTTGAACAAGCAAAAAGTCTACAAGGTGATTTCTTGTATATTCAAAACTTAACAAAATTATTTAATTATGATAGTACAAAAATCATAAGATCTAATGTTTGCTAAAAGTAAATTGTTAAGTGAGCAAATACATTTATTGAAAGCATTTTACTAATAAATTTCTTTTTACTTCTATGAGGATAAGTGTTGTTAAACAAACACTTGTAAGGACATTTGTTATAAACTGTGGAATAATAGCTATTAATTTACATAAATTTCTAAATTGTTTTAGAATTTCTATCACATTTTAAAAGCTAGTCAACTGCTAGCGTGTTACAAAATATTGTACAGTAAATAATGTGAAGATTTATTTTCCAAAACATACGTACATCCGCTGACACTAACAGCTATTTCTCAATCTTCATTTTTGCCATCTAACATGTTTGTTTGCTCCAGTCTTTATATACCCCACACGACTGCCCTCAGTAATATTTTACGCCAACCCTCATATGCCCTCTATGCAAGTACTGTATGTAAGCACTGTATGCAGATAATAAAATCACTTTTTCTTGACAAAGCGTGAGCATTCAGGCTAACGTTTTATGATTTACAATTTCTTAGTTTTCACTTCCTAATAATTAGGAATTTCTTTGTTTTGTTATCTAGAGATATATTTCGTTGAATTTGTTTTTTTTTACAAAAAAAAACAATTGGATATGAATTCCCGTGTAACAGTTTCAAGCACAGAGGCTACTCAGCCTTCATCTATTTTCCTCCTTTGTTTTCTAGTGGTGGTCAGCAGTCGGGGGGGGGGGAGCCACTCTCCGCAGAAACTGTCCGTGACCTGATTCGGGGCAAGTTGAAATCCTTCATGCTGCCTGGGGGTATCTTTCTGTCAGGTACTGGTTTGAATTTTTGTTCTGAAACGGGATATTCTGGGGAGAATTTAAACTCCCTGTTTCCTGTTCCTTCTTTCACTTGAGCTTTCTCTCCTGAGGATTCATTTGATTAGCCACCTTCTGACCTTTTTCTGCAGTTAGTTACACGTGTTTGTGAAGTTTTGGAGATGCAATCAGTTGCTTTTGAGTCTACCCCTGCTTTGTTGTCTGATCATTCTCAAGGGGATTACTTAGTTTTTCCTCCTTCTCCTGATATTGCTGTGCATGCAGGGAGGTTTGCAACACAATTATGTGAGGGTGTTGCTATGCCTCTCCCCTCGTTTATCTGAACAACATGCCCTGGCATATCATCATCAGGATGATATATATTTGGATACTCAAAAGTTGGATCTGCAGGGTGCCAGATACGAACCTATTATCTCTCTTAACAGGTCGCAATTTTTGCAGATTCACTTGACTCTTACTACTGGTTTAAGATACTTCTCTTCCCTTCAACTTTTGTCTGAAGCATTTCATCGATCGCCTCAACAATTTGATGATGAATTGGGCCCTTTACTGGTCTCCACTATGACACATTTGTCCTCTTCAGGACTTGCTTTGGTGTCATAGTTGGTCTGTTGCTGGGACTTGTTGTGTCGTGATGCTATTTTGTATTCACTTACCTTCTTCTGCCCTTTGAGATATATGAGAAGTGCCTTTTCTTTGGCCTTATTTATTTGCTGGAATTCCAGAATCTTTAGAAGCCAGAGTTGATACTGCACGTTTGCAGTCTTTGTTATCTTCTTTGGCTGCTCAAATCTATTCTACTTCAACTGGTACTTCTGCAGGTTCATCCCTTCATGTCTCAAGGCCTCCTCCTTCCACTCCTCATTCCATTGGTTCTTTTAATCATTTCCATTCTTATTCTTGGGTTGTTTCGGATAGAGCTCGACGGCACTGGTGCCGTTGGTGACTACCTGTTTTCACCAAATCCTGTGGGAGGATGGTTACATCTCTTTTACAACATTTGGCATTCTTTCATCATTGATCATTGGGTTCTCAGAGTGCTGGAGTTGGGATTCGAGTTTCAGTTTACTTCTCCCCCTCCTCTGTCCTCCCTTCCAGTCATTTTTCCTCCTCCTTCAGACCTCAAATGTACAGATCTTCGATCCTGAGCCATTCAAGAGTTGTTTCTCAAACAAGCCATCGAGAAAGTTGATCCCATTCATCCAGTATTCTATTCTTGTCTCTTTCTGGTGTCCAAGAAAACTGGATATTGGCATCCTATCATCAATTTATCTCGACTAAATCTTTTTCTTCAACCTCTTCGTTTCACCATGGAATATTTTCTTCAATTCGATGGCACTTCTTACCAGGTCTTTAGATGACTAAGTTTGATGTTGCAGACGCCTGTCTTCACATTCCCATAGCAGAATCTTCTTGTCATTTTCTGCATGAGGATCAATTGTTCCAGTTCAGAGCTCTCCCATTTGGACTTGTTTCAGCAACATGTCTTCTGCTGAGTAGTGTGGGGCTTTGCTTGGCATCTTCATTTTCTGGGTCTGTGCATACATCACAATATGTATGATTGGCTTCTTTTGGCACCAACTCATCATATTGCTGAACAACATACTCAGATTATCTTTTCTGAAGCCAGAAGAGTGGGCTTCATTATCAGGTTGGAAAAATCCATTCTTTCACCAACTCAATAACTGATCCATCTAGGAGTATTTTTCAACACCAATTTGGGCAGGGCTCAACCATTTCCACTCCAACCTCAACATATGGAAGAAGTTGTCAGACTTTTGATTATATCACCATTTCCCACTGCACGGATGGTTTTTGTCTGTTTTGGGGATTTGGGCTTCTACTAAATCCCTTATACCATTGGGTTGGGCTTATGAGGCCTCTTCAGTGGGCACTTCATGACCAATGGAGCATGCATATTGATCATTTGGATCAACCAGTCTCTTTGTTCAAGAACGAGATTGCAGATCTCCAGTGGTGGTTAGACAGGAACAACACAACTATTGGGATTCAGATACCACCTCCCCGGCCATATATCCATCTCTTCACGAATAGGGCACTTTTCTTCAGGGACAGGAATTCCAGGGCATTTGGATGAACTCCAAATCTACCTTGCATATCAATGTTCTGGAACTTCTTGCAGTACACCGAGCAATGATTCAAGGTCTTCCTATCTTGATCGGGAAAATAGTCATGATTCACTCAGACAACTCCACCATGGTCTCTTATCTTTCTCATCAGGTAGGTACTCATTCTCAGGATCTCTGTTTCCGGACTTTGGATCTTCTGTATTTGGCTTATTCCAACAACATACACCTTTTAGCCTGCCATATACTAGGAGTCACGAATTTGATTGCAGATCATCATTCTTGACCCCATCAAATTCTTCCAACAGAAAGGATGTTACATCAGGAGGTTTTTTCAATAAATTTGTTCTCAGTTCGGAGCACCGATGATCAACGCTTTTGCAACCCATTGGAATGCACAGCTACCATTGTTCTGGTCTCCTGTTCCTCATCCACAAGCCCTGGCAATAAATGCTTTCAGTCAAGACTGGACGGGACTACCTCTGTATACCTTTCCACCTATTCTTCTCTTACCAGAGTTTTGTGTATAATTCGTTCCACACCTTGTCAGGTTATCTTGATTGCACTTTTTTTGGTCAGCTCAGACATGGTTTCCATTTCTACAGTAGCTTCAAAAATGTCCACCTCTTCTTCTACCTATTCGCCCATCTTTATTGAGACAACCTCGGTCCAACGTTCAACATTCCGATGTTCGATGACTCAATCTTCATGCATAGAATTTATGAGGTCTTTTGCCCGTAATAGGGATTTAACTTCTAAAGTTTCCGTTTATTTGACAAAATCCCTCCAGTGACCTACTTTGGCAATCTATCAGCAGAAATGGACTACTTATCATCAATGGTGTTTGAGAAAACTTTCAATTCCCTTCGTCCAACTGTCTCCATGATATCACGATTTTTTACATGGATTTTTGAAAAAAAGATCTTGCTTCTTCCACCATTGCTTTATATAAAGTTTCCTTAGCAACTACTTTTCAATATTCTAAATATTAGAAGGTTTTTGACTCCCCTGTATTATCTCATCTCTTATGTTCTTTTTATATTCTCCAATCCAAACAACCTTTTCAACTACCTAACTGGGACTTTAGGGTTGTTTTACATGCTTTATTGTGTCATCCCTTTGAACCCATGGATTTCCTGTTCACTATATCACCCTTCCCTCAAAGTTTATTTTTTATTGCTGTTAGCTTTTGGATACCGATGCTCTGATTTATTTGTCATTCATCTTCAGTGGACTCTCTATCATTCTACCTACATTTTGCTCTATCCCAACCGATCATTTATTCCAAAAACTTTCTTTGCCAGAGAAAGAACAAATCTTTTTCTCCTATTCATTTACCTGGCATTTCTCATCTTTATAGTAGATCAGAACCAGATCATTTATGTCCCGTCAGGGCATTCAGATGTTATGTGGCTCATACAGAATCATTTTGAGGCCCTAGGAACAGACTTTTTATTCAGTGGAATCCTGCAGTATCCAGGGATTTATCACCTGCTACTTTAACCAGATTGCTTCGGAAGTTGATCCATATTGCCCTAGGAACAGACTTTTTATTAATGGAATCCTGCAGTGTCCAGAGATTTATCACCTGCTACTTTAACCAGATTGCTTCGGAAGTTGATCCATATTGCCTATTCGGGCTTATCTGTTAACAATCGCAATATGCTCCACATCACCTCTCACCAGATTTGACAACTTTTGATGTCTTTGGCTGCCCGGTTGAACTGTTCTCTCAAAGATATTTTGTGGGTCGGTATGTGGACGTTCATATTTCATTACCTTCACAATCTGTCAGTTTCCTTTTTGATCGGATTTTGTCTTCCTCCCATGGCTGTGTTGATTACCTCTACTAGATTTTAACAAGGAGGTGAGTAATGTGTTATCTGTCTTACAGTTATACTTCTTTTCTCTTCCAGGGCCCCTATTGATTTCTTTTAGATCCCACTCGTTGGTGAGTGTTTCCCAGATGGGTATGCTTGTATTTAAATTCCACAATACCAACCTTTATATCGGTTCCTGGTTGCAATGAGCTCTTTTGAGATGAGGTGTTCCATAAGTCCTTCTGGATGCAATTCTGGAAGGTGATATCTTATCACAATATTTCTAATAGACTGCTACTCATGGACTATCATGAATAAAGCTGAAGTGGATTTTGCCAGTCTCTGCTGACCTCAGGGCTGAATCAGTCAAAATCAATTTGCTTTTAAAAATTAGGGAATGTGGTTCACCTGTTGCACTGTCTCTGGAGACCTGTTCTTCAGGACTCCCAATGGTTATGTTCCTCCCTTACTTCTTCTAGTGGAGCACAGGAGTCCTTGCCACACCCAGTTCCCAGTCGCTGGGGTGGTGGACAGACGATTTTCCTTCGGAGTGTTAAGTTTTCTCCACTCTCAGAGAAGAGGGCAAAATTGGGGACCCTCCTACCTGGGTCCCTAGAAGTTTTTTTCCAGATGTCGGTAGGAGCAGGACCAACCTATGCGGGAGCCTACTTGTAAAACCAGTCCAGATTTGACACTTAGCTATCCAGTGGGGGGTACTTGGATCCTCTTATGAACACTATGAAGTCTTATGTTGTTCATGCAGGGGGTCCATTATCTCCTTGTAAATTCAAATGCAACGTGATCTCATCTTTGGTCCTTGGTAGGACAGTGTTCCACATCCTCTCCATAATTCCATGGGTAAGCAGAATTCTCCTTGCCCAATTGGTCGTGGACTAAAGCCAACTGTTTGGTGAAATATGGCATATGATCCTGTCAATCCAGGCCTGGGATGTTACCTTTTGGACTTCTTCAGGTTAATCAGAAGGATTGTCCATTTTGGTGTTGCTTTCTTTCTTTCATAAATCTGGTGGTTTGAAACGCATCATTTTGTGGTTACTGGTAGGGATCCTCTCACAAAGATATATATAATTGTGGTCCAACTGCTCTGGCCACCAACGTGGGATATGGATACCATGACCCCTTAAATCCAACCCAAGTTGTGGAATCTTGGCTGTTTGGTTTGGGCTGGACCATCATACTTGTATAATATTCCACCCTTTTCAATTTTCTGTAGTTCTGGGTGAAGAGAATACCTGTTCTGGATGTAGTGTTATGTTCCCCACTTTGATACCACTCCTTATGGTACATAATTGTTCTCTGCAGACACTTTCTGTATGATCTGCTCTCACTGGCCCCTCTGCCTTCTAGCTATTAGTGTCAGCAGGGGTATGTATGTTTTGGAATTTATCATTTTCCTAAACTGAAATTGTATTTCCAAACATATTTACTTCCGCTGACACTCTCCCTCCCCACTAAGAGCCGATGTTAGTGACCGGAATGAGGTAAGTCTCGAAACTGTGATTTTATTGTCTGCACACAGTGCTTATATACAGTACCTGCATAGAGAGTGTGTGAGGGCCGGCATAAAGTTTTGCAAATTAGGGCAGTCGAGTGGGGTATATAAAGACTGGAGCAACCGAACACAATATTAGATGGCAAAGATGATCGAGAAATAGCTATTAGTGTCAGCGGATGTAAGTATGTTTGGAAATACATTTTCAGTTTAGGAAAATGATAACTTTCAAAGGAATAAAAATGTTTTTGTGCCTATATAAATTTATTGATACAATATGACCTGTGAGAGGAATGGAAGAAATTATTAGTGAGGTTATGTTTAAGTTGTAAAAGAAATATTTGACCTATGCTTACTATGATTATATTTTGACTTTTGATGAAATTAATTTACATGCATTTAATAATGTAGTTAAACCTTAAAATAAAAAACATGTTGGCCTAAGATGATCTAAACATATTTTTTGGTTTTTCTTGCATTCTTGTGGCTTATCTATCATTGTTTTTTTTGTCATAGTATTGTGCTTGTTCTCATGTACCAAATTTCTTTAATTTTTGCAAAATCAGATAGTTAAATAGATAGCTAGAGTTGTGTGATTGTGGGTTTAGTCATAAAGAGTGTATAGTGGCGCTTTTAACTGAAATTATCACAGATTGTATTGTAACAACAGAGTAGAGAAGAATAATATGTCTAGTCAATTGTGTTCTAAAGTAATTGAACATACCTGTGTGGACCTTTGACAAAAAGAGACAATTATTTAAAGCTCTGATACAACCTGTGGTAACCAATATTATAATGTTCATATATTTGACTTGCATTAATATATTATTTTAAAACAAGTGGACTGTGTGCTGTTTTTTATTGTTGAAATTTGTTATCAAAAAGTGACAGACACTTACTGTAAAGATATCAACATATCTCAGCTTATTTTATTGTGAACTTGTGTTTCATGAAAAAAACACGTCAAACCATTTCATTTTTTTAGACCACTTAAATGATTTAATTTCATATATGAACTATAGTTTTTCTCTAAAGCATGGTATAACAGTAACTTTTGTCCCCCTTTAAAGTAGTGCCCTTTAATAATCAAAATAAATAATGAAAGAAAATCTATGCATCACTGCCATTATAATCTGTTCTTTTGTTCTCCTTTAAACGAATGCCCTTTCCTAATCAAAATAAATAATAAAAGAAAATATTTGCATCACTTTCAGTATAATCTATTCTTGTTCCCATATAACCCATCTATCTAGCTGATATGTATTTGTAAATAAAATGTCAAACACTTTTGATGGAGAGATGGAAAAAAATCATACAATTTACATTACCATTAACACCTGTCCACAGACAAATGGGTTGCATTTGTCCTTTCTCTCATGGCCTTTCCCTCCACTCACCCCTTTACCTCTCAGCTCATGCCTGGTTCATTTCCTCCTTTATCAGATCCCATCTATCTTCAATGTTTGGAAGATTTGGTGTTGGATCTCTTACACAAAAAGGCCATAGAGAGAGTGCATGACCCTTCACCAGGGTTTTGCTCTTGCTTATTTGTGGTCCCCAAGAGGACCAGGAATAGGCAGCCAGTCATTGACCCTTCCTCTCTCAATCACTAAATAGTTATCCTTCATTTTTTATGGAAAAACTTTTGATATCCAAAACCAGCTCATGGGGTACCAACATCTGCATGAGGGTAGGATGAGGGCACCCAATTGAAGGGGTGAACTGCATGTAGACGTCTCACTCTGTGTTATGTGTCACTCAATCTTGAGGACTTGATGTATGAATCAAAAGAAATGTCTCAAAGATTCTGATTTGGGAATATGAAGGAATGCATCTGAGATGTCAACCTTGGTCATCCACAATCTGAGTAAAAAGGACCAGGAAAAGGGGAGTGAACCAATCAACATAAGTCTTCACACAGGTTTGGGGCTATCCATCTTTCTCCCTCGATTCTTCCTTCTGTGTAGTGGGTCACTCAGCGAAGAGGTTTTGGATGTAGTTGATTTACTGAGTATGGTCTGTCGCACCCTAGCCATTCTACATCATGGGATGCATCCTCTATTACCCGCTTTCCTTCTGTGGGATTGAGTTTCTATATTTACTCAGTTCGGATAACTTTCCTGACTTATCCTCTTCAACTCGGATGTGCTACCTTACTTTTCCACCTTGTGTGTTCCTAGCCATTCTACATCTTGGGATGCATCCTCTATTACCCGCTTTCCTTCTGTGGGATTGAGTTTCTATATTTATTCAGTTCGGATAACTTTCCTGACTTATCCTCTTCAACTCGGATGTGCTACCTTACTTTTCCACCTTGTGTGTTCCAAGCTGTTCATGATGAGGAGATACCTGGTTCAGAAGTGGTGTGGTGCCCCTCCTCAGATTATCTGATCTGTTTCTCTCATCCACAGAAGTATCCTTCAGATGCTTTCGAGGGATATGTTTGTTATTCCCTCCCACCAGTCCCTCATCCATTTCAATGAGAGATTCTAGCTAACCTTGTGATAGGAAAATTATAACATTCAGTAATGATTAGATTATTATAAAATGTACATGTTACTGTAAAACCTTAATTACATTCTGTAAATGTGAGGCTATGTTAAAAAGGGGTAGAAATCAAATACCAAGTAATATGTTCATTGATGAAATTATGTGTATGATTATCTAAAAAATTTTTGATTTTTTGTATATAAATAATATATATATATATATATATTTATTTACAGAAAAGACTGAATTGCTTTTGGAAGTATTTGGAAACACTCTTATCAGACAATCAACTTTAAACTACATACAGAACAAGTCTTCTGAATTAATCAGGTAAGTATATTTTATTTTATAGTGTAGATTAAAACATTTTTATTTATGTGAATCAGTGCTTTTTCTGAGCGACTGAATTCATGATTTTTATATGAATTCAGAAATGTGTGTGATGTGCAGAAATATAAGACTTTCTACCATCTGTCTTTGTAAAGTGAAATAAAAGAAATGCCTCAAAAGCATGTTTGATGATTCAAAACATTATATGATAAATATGTTTTTCTCATATAATATAATTACTAATTTTCTGCAGTTTTGTTTCCAGTGTAAAGAGCACTGGACTTTATGCCCTAAACTGTTGATAGGTAAAGCCACATTTAAACTTCTTAAATATGCTTTGTACAGTACATACAGCTTGGAATAATGATATAAATAATCCCCAGTATTTTGTAGCATGCTGAACAAGTTGTTCCCCTGTTGGGACAGTGGTAAATCTACAGACTTACAATGCTGAAATCTGGGGGTAAATTTCCTACTGTAAACACAGCAGATAGCCCAATGTGGCTTTTCTGTATAACAAAAACACACACACTGAACAAATTGATATATACTGATCTCAGGATAGTAAAGCAACACAAACTATAAGTATCATTTATACATTAGAACACAGTCTAGTATCCATGAATTACATTCTTACAACAGCTTATTACAGTTAGAATAATGATTAAAAAGAAGGACAGAAGAAAATAAACATATATTTGGGATAAACTCGTAAGTGTGATAAAGTATTATCCATCTTAGATACATGTATACACACTTAATTTAAAAGGTTTTACTATCATGTCCGCATGAGGTACACGGAAAAAAAAAGCATAATAATCTATAAGTTAGTGAAGTTCCTTTGAACTGGATACTGTTGAAATGTATATGACACATAAAAAAATGGGTAGTACAGTTATTTATTCTATTTCTTTTGTGACTGGTCTACAGTAAGTCATCAACATGTGTAAGTTTATTTAAAAAATGTCTTTTCATGAGTTGCTGGTGGCTTAACTAATTAATGTTATAATATATGAATCTACTTTTAATATTACACCAAAAATGAAAAACTATAAATAAAATTTACACACACATCACAAGACGATATACTTTTATGTTCTAGTATGTTTTGAAATGTGGAATTTAATCCATCATCCTCCGTGTTGGAGAAGGGCCCACTGTATATGAATATCTAATAATTAACACTTAACTAGAAAAAAAAATATTATGTCTGTACTTTCCAGTTCTTCAATTTATTGTAAATGTAACATTTTTATACAATGTTTTCTTTGTGAAGATACTGTTATATGTTCTTCATTGAAATACCATTAAACAAACAAACAGTACATAGATTGGTTCCGATACCAGCTAGTTAATTAAATAAATGGAGATTTAAGAGCAAAATTCAGTTATACCATATGTTCCTCGAGCAAGTCATGTTAGGCAAATCTATGTTGGAGGAGCTCAATACCTCATAGGGATATGGGAAACACAGCTGTATTAAGTCTCCGATAAATGCTTATATATGGATTTGTTTTACACATAAATGAAAAGCCCTACCTATACAGTATTGTATGTGAACTAAAAATATAAAATCATGAACATAATAACATTCACATGTGATATCGTGCACCTGTAAATGAAAATAACATTCACATGTGATATCCTGCACCTGTAAATGAAAATAACATTCACATGTGATATCCTGCACCTGTAAATGAAAATAACATTCACATGTAATATCCTGCACCTGTAAATGAAAATATGTGAAATGAAATAATACAGTACTGTATTTTATTGTAACACTCACCTATGAATGGTGAAGACGAAGACCTTTAGCTGATGAGAGGAAGATTTGTGATGATGATGGTAATAGATTTGGAGGCTGAGAGTTTAGTTTAAGATAGGTGGATCATTGGAAAATTCGGCCTCAAACTCCAATGAAGCAGATATAGATATTGTTTGGATGGGGTCAGAAGGCATCATATCGGCTGACTTGGGCTTCATAAAGTCAGTAATTTCAGCTGTTTGGCTTTCCTCCACAAATCTTTCAAGATTTCTCTATAGGGTGCTAGAACGTCATTAAACCCTCTTTTAAATTTAATGCCTCTCTCCATTATGGGATTCATGTTTACAGCCATTTCTGTGAGCTCATCTTCCTTGGATAGGAAATCAGACACAGCCTTTGCTGTGAGGATGGGCTTAGCAGGTTCTGTCTCTTCAGCATCTTCATCACTGTTTCTGGAGGCTATCAATGCTTCAAATTCTTCATTTGTTGGCACAACTACCTCCTCATCCCTCATATTATCTAACCCCTCACCTCTGATTTCTTTAGCGAGTCTCACGATGTTGGCAATTTCCTTCTCAACCATTGGAAAGCCCTTAAAATTTCTCATCCGTTGGTTCATATGGCTTACTCTGGCCTTTAATTGGAGGAGTGGAGACTTCTACTTATGTCAATGTCCCAAGCAATTTGGTTGCATTACCCACTGGAGAAAATTGGTACAGGTTGGTATGTGGACCACACCTCAGATCTTTATATTGAACTATTTACATGATTTTTGTGGTTTCTTCCTCGGATGGGTTTAGGCTACCCCTATGGCTATTTTATGTGCCCCAGCTCAATTGTGTTACTCTAATTCTTTTCAGGGACCCTCTCATCATTATCATCCCACTCTGTATAAAATTCCTGGTATCAATGAACTCTGTTCAGATGGGGTGTTCCATAAGATCACCTTGACACTTTCCGGGTGGTACACAATTATTCCGTACCATACATGATATACAATACTGGACTGCCACTTATGGACTTTCATGAGTAAAGCATAAAGGGATTTTGCCCATCTCTGCTGACCCCTGGATTGAATGAATTGGGGTTGTTTTGCTTTTCAAAATAGGGAACATGGTTCACTCATTGCACAATCTCTGGAGCATCATTCTTTGGGCCTCCCCAGTACAAATGTTCCTCTCATTTCTGGAGCATGGGAATCCTTACCATGGGAGTTGCTGGAGTGGTGGACAGAGGTCTATTCCTCCTGAGTGATGTTTGAACACTTTATTCTACTCAAGGAGAAGAGGGCAAAGCTGGATACCTTCTCACCCATAACCTTGGATCATTTTTCCAGATGTATGGAGGGAGAAGGACCAGCCTTGTGGGAGTCTCCTCATAATTCCAGTTCAGAGATGACACTTCCCAATCCAAGTGTGTCATGGCCCTTCTTTTTTGTCATTATATTACTTTTCATGATCATGGAAGAGGGCCTTTGAGTACTTGTAATTCAGCACATGGAGTGTAAAGTCCATGGTCCATTGGTTGAACTTTCTTTGTTCCACATGTAAGAATTCTATCCTGTTTCCAAAATATATCTGTTACAGTTTACTGCATTGACTGCTAGCTGTATTAAAAAACTACTTAGCCTTTAATAACCCAGCCACCTAGTAACTTGTCAAAAATGTCATTACTTTCTTTGTTTGTGAAGGCAAATAAATCTACAAGTATGAGTGACTTTTCTACTGTTGTCAACAAGCAAGCCAAACAGCAACTGGACCAATCTGAAATCATTAGTGAACCAGTTAGTGGCACTGCACAACAAGTGCAGCAGTTGCTTGATTAACATTTAATTCAGGATGCATCTTGCGTATCCACAAATTTTCTTTAATGAGTAGCATTTCTTTACTATCTGCACTCCCCAAGACGTTCGTGTTTTGAAGTGACATTTGTGTCGTTTAAATAGTGACGAAGGATGGATGACTGTTTATATGCTGTGTTTTGCCTCTAGAAACATTGATTCCAGAGAGTCCCAATCAACCTATCCTGTTGTCTACCCTGCAGACTTTTGGCAATCAACAGCATGCATTTTGCTCATCATGGTACAATAATTATCGGTGGCTTCACTATCAAGAAGGAGATGACAGTTTTCTTTGTTTCTACTGTTTTGCAACAGAGAAGCACACTTTACAAGATTTGGTTCATGCACTGGAAAAAGGCTCTTGAGAAGTTTGAAAATATCAGAATTCAGCCTTACATCACAATGCTATTGATTTATTTGAGAAGATCCAAAGTGCCACAGAGAATGTAGGAGAAAAGCTTAATATAAGTCTTGGAAATCAAAAGGCAGAAATAACAAAGATGTTGCAAGTCATTCTCAACAGTATCAGCTATCTAGATAGATGAGGTCTTGCTTTATGTGGTTGATGACCTTGAAAAGAGAGGTGAATCTGACTCAAACCTTCTACAAATTAGTAGGACACAGGCTGAATATAACCCAGGCATTCTCAAATAAATGGAAGGGTCCCAAGATAAATATACCAGTCTTGACATAGTTTAGCATCTTGGTCAATGAGACAAAAGATCTATCCAATATTGACCAGAGGATCTTATGCTTATGCTATGTAGATCATGATTTGAAAGTCCATGAAGAAGTCATAAAAAAGGTGTACAGATTAGAATCTGCTTCTGTTAATAATAATAACTATTGAAGATGTCCTATTGTGTAAGAATCCGATAATTGACAAATGCAATGGTCAATCCAATTTGATGGATGATATGATTTATTCTGGGAGTACATTGAAGAAAGAAGGTCTGTTGGTTTTGTTTCCTCCCCTACACATCCAAAACATAGGAAAGTTCAACAACAATTTGAAGTACATCAGAATATCTCATTTCAACAAAGGATTATTACTGAAGTATTTATTTATAGGGGTTGATCTTGTCAGAGAAGCAAATAAGGCTAGAGTTGAACAAAAGGGGGTTCCAAGTGCTTGAAAAATTGGAGACAGTCTTAACCAACTTTCAAGGAACCCAACATTCAGTTCAAGAATGTGATTACATTATATGGTACCGACTTCAAACATCCAGATCATCGTCAAACATAGCTGAACTTTTTACACACTGGCAATGAACAGTCTATAGTTAACTAACTCCAATCTCTGTCATCCAGAGAGAGAGAGAATACTTTTCTGATCTTAGTAATCACAGCAACAAATGCTGTAAGCAAGAAAACCTTTAGTGCTCTTTACAGGCTGAAGACATGGCTACGAACATTAACATGTAAAGCCAAGCTCAACTGGTGCATGATACTCCATATCCACAAGGATAAAACTGATGCTCTGCCAATGCAAAGTGTGGCCAATGAGTTCGTTAGCAGAAAAGATAGCAGCTTGCATATATTTGGACAAATTAAGTAACACTTAAGTTTTAATAATACTTATTATCAACATTTTAATTGAGTTAATCTGTTTGAGAGCATTTATCTATGAGTGAATGGGTGAAATTGATTTTATATTAAGGTTGAAAAGTCGGGGGGGGGGGGGGTTGAAGCCCAAAAGCCCACCACCCTTATCCACAATTTTGAACACTACATGTTAAACATGTGAAACTTAGGTTGAAGTTAGCTCAAGGCAGATGTACGAGGGATATGGTTGTTCTATGTGCGGAGGTATCTATTAGAAATACATTTTCAAATTAGAAAAATGATAACTTTCCAAATATTTAAATGTTTTAAAAAACAAGCTGAAATGAAGCAGTTGGGAATAGTAGATATTTCATACAATTGCTACAATACTTAAATAAAAATTGAGAAAAACAGTAAAGAAAGATTTTGGTCTTCACGCCCACACAAGGAAGATGGCATACGAAAAATTGCCTAGTTCTAGCTTAAAACAGGTAAAGTACAGTTAACCAACTAGCTAGAGAACAACAAAAGAGCTACAGAGAAAAACTGATGCTCATAGCCATCATAGCGATGCTTAGTAGAAGGAAAAAGCCCAGTATAAGTAAACCACGAGTTTGACATGATGAACTGATGATGCTAACCTCTTAGTACAGTGGAAGCTATGAGAAAGTTAGGGTTAACTACCATGTTTGGAATTCTTGAGGCTGTATCCTTTACGGATTGTAGTGTAGTCATCCAAGTTAAAAGGCCACCACTTCACTGCTCTCAACAGGCAACCAATTACTTGAGAGTTTTGTTTGTGGGAAGTACGATGAGTTGCAGAAATTAACCAATGAAGTGTGAGAATTACTTGTGGGTTGCTATGCTCACTCCTTGAAAACTCATAAGGATATTGAGAAAATATCATTTAAAAATTCATGTTGGGAGCTAGAAATCAGTTCTCCCCAGAATGAAAGCTCAGTTGAGAAGTTGTTTGCAGATCAGTTCTCAGGGACAGAAAGTAAGTAACAAGTTAAAAATGCTGAAGGTATCCAATATTCAAAGAAGCCAGGTTGTCACTCTAACATGATGTAAGTTACAAATGCTATTTCTCTCAGTCGATCAATGTAACTAAAAAACTAAATGTACGATATAGCTAATAACCTGACTATGTCCGAGTATACCTCTAGTAATACTGTGATTGAAGAGTTGTTAGGAATAATGAACTATTGGAAATTGCCGAGAAATTAAGTCAACATGTCAGCAACTGATGAAAAGTGTTGTAATTGCCTCTTAAGAAAGTGTTATTAAAGATTGATGCTTTTTGTAATTTCTGTCTGTGAGTCATTCGTTATTCTAAATGTATACTCATTGAACTTGAATATGGGAGAAAAGCAGGGTAAATTAGGCCCCGATTAGTTATTTATACAGAATGTAGGAAAAGGTGTAGGTGTGTAGAATTAAAACTGTTTTGCATATACTTTTATTTATTAACATGCACAGAAAAATACTTTTTATATTTGTATGTTAAAGTAGTGAATCACTTCACAATAATGTGTTTATTGGTGACTTTTTATACATAAAGTACAATTTTAATTGTATATGATACTCTTATTCAAAGACAAAGGTGGTGGTGGTGGCAGTTGCATTTCAGTTTACATTGTGGTGAGGGTGAATGTTTTGTGAAGACCCAGGAGCTGCTAATTACTATCATACATATAATTTTACAACTAGAAAGATTATATAGTTACTAGTGAACCCATGGACCTATAACCCAAATTTATAGGGCTGCCATAATGCAAATTTAATGCTTGAACTACAATTTTGCACATTTTCAGTTTAATGATAACTGTCACTATAATACAAATTTAATTTTCTTTAACCAAGTTACAACTGGTAGTTTGTAAGCCTATTTATTTATGTGATCTAATATACATTAATGCCAAGTTTGGGGTCCACTTCCGGGGAATCCCTGTAAAACTGTTTTCATGAAATACTCAAGTTCCCTAAGGGGTTGGGTCATTTATAAATAATATGTAATAGTATTTTGAGATATAAGGGTGACAGGGACTCTTCCTTGAACTTATGACTGCTTTGATATGATATGAAAAAATTTATGCCTTATCAAAAAGCTAGTTTTTCTTCCAGAAACTTGACATTTTTGTCCAAACATACAAGATTATTTTATGAGTTTTTTTTTTTACAATCTTAATTCTTGATTTTATAAATAGATGCTTACACATATATTAACCCTTTCAGTATGACTTCTATATTATTAAAATATAAATGATTTAAATATAAATAAATTACCTAGGATACATAAGGAATGCTTCTCAATTTTTGGAAAAATTTTCACACACAGTTTCTGAAATTTGCATATGGGTCATATGCATTCCAACAGACATACTTGTGTTACACATGCCCCTGTCTTGGTGGTGAGTCAGCATTAATTTTTGGACTTAAAAGGCTCAAATCTGGGGCTTAATTGCTTGTGTAGTATAGAATGCAGATAATTTATTGTGCAGCTTTGTGCTAAAAAACAAACAAACAAAGCAGTACATGTGCCCCAGCAGTTATTTATTGAAACATGTTGCATATGCAATCTGAGGGGAAAATAACACAAGAACATCTAATAAGCAAAGTTTTACTTGTCCAGTTTTGAAAAATATGTTAATTACTTTTACAAGATATTGTTGTGGAGTGCTACGTTCAAAATTTTTTTGTGCAATTTGTGAGTCCCACCAGTCTAAAAAAACATATAGTTGGAAAACTATAGCCAAACAGTACTGAAATGTTTATAATCTTATTGAAATACAGTATTAAAAAAGAAATAGCTTTGAAATATAAACTAATAAATAGTTTCTCTTGAAAAATATGTCTAAATTTTGATGAAAGTTTCTGAAGAAAAGTTGCATGATGATAAAATAGAAAATATTATGATGTGTCCTTGCTGCCATGTTAGTACTACTCATTTTTAACTCTATCATGACCTACAAGTTCCTTTGAGGTGTTGAATGCACAATTGATAGTAATATTTCAAAATTTAATAAAAATAATGAATCTAACTTTGTTACAACAATTTGTTCCACAAAAATTTTTGGATTGATATTTGTCAATTTTTTAACATTTATTCAGTGTAATTCACAAATAAGAATGTAAATAATGTTAAAAACTTACATTTCTGTACAGATCCAAGAAGTCTTGTCTAGAAACAACATACTTAAAAATTTTTTATAATATTTTCTGTCTATCTCAAAGCATAAGTTTTATTTGCTAAGAAACTATCATCTCTTTAGATGATAGTCCGAAGATTTATTATCGTAGGTATTTGTTCGCATCACATACTTTGAAGTTATGAAAGGGTGGGAACAGCTAATATTGAAAAACAGCCTGGAAATTAGCTACAAGCAAAGGTTGAAGTACCATTGGATAGAGCAGATTATAAACTGTTGACCGTGAATAAAGTGGTTTCAGTAAGAAAGTGATTAGATATAGCTTCTGCAGAGAAAAACAACTGGAATTTAGTGTGAAGTTTAGAAGTTTTGTTTAACTTTTTAGACATTCTTTTCATTCCTAGAAATGTTGTTAAGTTACATATTGTTGGAAAGCTGTGGGAAGTTTATTTTATGACGTCAGGTAAACCTCACTAGGTTTTTTAGAGTATGATAGTAATAGCAAAATATTCCAGTGAAAGAAATTCTATTTTGTATTGAATGTTATTGTTATGTTTATTGTATTCACACAATGCATACAAATAAATGAGCATTCAGTTTATTGAAAACAAGTTATATTTATTAAATAGAGTTTGATTTTGCCCAAGACTATTGTTAGCAAAAATATAGTTACCTAGCCTGATCATTAGACACCATTTTGAATGGTCAGTTGCTAGGTCACTATTAAATCTTATCAATTTGTATGGTGTTTTTATTTTAAGGCAGAAGAGGTGACTATTGCAATCAGCAAAATAAAGTTTCATAATAGGTATGCTAATGAAAATCAATCATGTTGAAAGTGATTGTATACATTATGTGGATCTTTCTGATCAACACAAAATAAACAATTTAAATTCTAAGATGAAAGGAAGTATTTTTATGTGTTTTTTTTTTTCAAAAAAAACGTCTCAAAACAAAATTTTGGAAATTTCACAGCATAGATTTTTTTATAAAAACTAAATCATATTAGATACTAGATTGGACACTGTTAAGTAAGTTCATGCTTGGTTTCATGTAATGTGATTATTCATTTCCACTGTGAGAAGATAAAATGAAGGAATATCATTGACACCCTTTCCAGTCTGGAAAAGGTTAACTTAAAGCCTAAATTCCTGACTAATAGTAAATGAAACATAATTTGAACATGAATAGGAATGTTTTAACGTTTTACTGCATATTTTTAATGAACAACTTAGTAATCATGTTCACATGTGACTCTTTATGGGTTTTTGTAAGATTAACTGTTCTAATCACTTTATAAATTATTTATAAACAGTTTAGATGCTTACATGTACATAACAATTAAGTTTGCTTTGAAATATTTTAATTTTAGAATACGTTTTATTTATTTCTTATTTTTATATTTTTATTGTGTGTGTATTTTATAACAGAATGGTAACAGATTTTGAAGAGCTTAAACAGAAGATGCCCTTCATAAATCTTGAGGCACTAAAGGTGAGATATTACTTAATTTCAGTGAATTATATGCACTGGCTATCCACTTTGTTATGGATTGTATCTAATGTCAGACTTGATCACTTTTCAATGTGATAATAGTCTGTATTCAGCATGACATAGACTCCACAACATGGTTTATGTCTTGTTTGATTATAACCTAGAATATTCCTTGAGGAATATTGATTAGTATAGGTTAGTTAAGGTTAGATTCGGTAAAATAAATAATAATATAATAAAACATTTTCATGAGGCATGCATTCGAGCTGCTTGGAGTAGCTTGTGGGTAATGCAATTTGATAGCGTAAGCCTGACAAAGTTTGTGAAGTTACACATACTGTATTAAAAGTTAGAGTATTAAAATTATACACAAGTAAAAATGGTCACATGTTCGATCCTTGAGTCAAAGCCTGTATTGAAAGAGTTTGTAACTGGCCCAATGCTAAATGAGCAGTGCATGTATTGAACGTACATAGTCTAGTCTAGTAGGCTTGGCTGTGGGATCTGAATGGGAACATTCCAAACATCATGAACAGACTACTACAAAGTGTATGCTATATGTGCATGACATTGTGTGAGAATATTGTATGTGCCATTTGGCAGGAATTTCCATGAAATGAACATCAGCTTCATCTTTGGTGGTATATCAAACTGAAATGTTACAGCACTTTCACTGTGTTGTTGGAGGTTTCAAAGATAACATACAAGAGAAAGTAAGGATTCCCATGTTATGTTAAGCAAAGAGGAAAGTGATTTGCAACTGGGATTATTTTGATTTGAAAATTGCGATGCAAACCTGTCTCCTGTTTTTCTTTCTATTCTTAAGACATCTACACCTGTTGTTGTTGATTCACATGTTAGATTCATCAGGTAGTCTCCGAAAACAAAATCAATGTAGTATGTAAATATATTTGTATAAGAGTAAAAAATGTAGAAATTTTATGTTCTTAATATATTAAGGCAATATATGTAAACAAAAACTTTGGTTCCAGTGCTTACTTACTATAATGGTCAAGCGTAAAAGGCTGTCCAAATTATTTTGTATTCAGAAGATGACATAATTAAAATAAAATTACAATTAAAGTGACAGAAAAGTGCTTGGCTCATTGCAGCCAACATGTAACTTTCTTACGTTTTTCTCTGAATAACTAAAAAAAATTGTAAATCACACTTTTTTTATTCCAAAACTATAAATATTTGAATACAATTCAACTAGCTTTCACATGCAACTTAATATTACATAACATTTATGTTGAGGAAGATAAAATTGACGAAAATCAATCAACAATTTTTTGTCATAGTTACAAAAAAATTGTTTCTATAAGTGTTCATGTGGATTATAATTGTTTTAAATGTCAGGGTTTGACATAAGCATAACATAAACATGTAAATTTTGTGTACTGCCATTTGTCAGTCGCATATAAAACCTAACATTGAAGTTGTATATTGTGTTGTTTATTATAAAGTTGTCAATTTATGAATGATATAAGCATTTGATATCATTATGTAGATTATTATTTTTCTATTATCTATTAATTTTGACTTCATTTTACCTGCCTCTAATACATTCATGTATAGCAATCTATTTATAAACTTTTATTTTCTGATACGATCCCTCACCTCTGTACACAGATTAGCTATTTTCCTCTTGAAGTCACACTTTTCTGCCTGAGAGACCTGCATGCCACCAGCTTTGTGAAACCCCTACCTAAAATTCATGTGAAAATACACTATTGCATAATGAAGATTCATGCAGCAAAACACTTCACTAAAAGAAGTGTGACACATTGGGCAAATGCTTTCTCCACACTTGTGTACAAAAATCCTAATTCTTTTCCTCAGCACAGTCGTGCAAAAACATGTTAAATTTTTCTGAGACTTGTTGAAGTATTTTACTACAACTACTTTAATTTGTATTTTCAACCTTCCAATATGAATTCACAAATTAACATGAATTCTTCTTCTGCTGAAGTATATACAACTTTCACTACAGTTACCAACAAGTTACGAAGATTTTTGCCTTTTGAGTTTGTAACAGCCATCATCCATCATATCGTGGAGTTCATGTTACTGCTTTGACTCTCTTCTTCCATCCATGTCACACATTTTCCTTCAGGGAAATTTTAAGCTGATGTTGAGGAGGAGGAAATGAAGTGACTTTTACCATCCAGTACATCTCTGCCTTTCAAATTTTCACGCCTGCCTTATGTATACCTTCTATCTATGGTTCATTTCTTTTCCCCAACCTGTTTGTTCAGTACCCGACACTTCCTTTGGGTTTAAATTTCCTCTTACTGTTTTATGCCTTGTTTCCCCACCTTATCAGGTAACACATAGAAGTTACTGGTAAGATAGAGTGCTTTCCTCCTTAACAAGTAACTCCTAGGACTTAATGCTTAGACAATGTTTCTTACTCCTTAACATGCCCACATATGATATTGTTTAGATCTAGTTCATTACTACTCAATTTGTATGTTACTTAATTACTCTTTAACATATACCTCTTTGTTAGATATACATGACTGTTTCATTTAAATTTAATAGAAGAGTTATAATTTAGACAGATATAAAGTGTGAGTGTTAAATTTAGTATTTTTAAAAGCAATAATTTATTGCAGGTTTGCTTACATAACTGTTTACAAATCATTTGTTGTGTGGTTCAGTTGTTGTGAATTGATATCACATAACTCAAACCTTCGGAATTTTTGTTGTTGCTTTAAGTGTGTACTGTTACATCATAATGTCCCATAGTTTGTTGAAAGTTCTAGGCCTCAGTCAGGCAAAATATGTAGGCAATCAAGTTGGAAGAAAGTTAAGTAAGTGAAAGTTAAAGTGTTTCAGTTTTCGACATAACAGGCAATTTCTAAAGAGAGTTTCACAGCTTGTATTGTAATAACTGAGGTATAAGAGAATAATTAGTCTCGTCAGAAGGTGTTCTAAAGTAATTGAACCTGCCTGTGTGGATATACAAGATTGTTAGACTGTTTAGTTTAAGAGTTATTAATTAGCTCATTTGGTGATTTAGTGTGTAATGGTTATTTACTTTTCTTAACATGAGAGTTAAAAGTAGTTATTTTAAAGGCGATAGTTATGACGAGTTTGGTTTCATAACTCGGTAAGAGTCATATGTTGTGTGTGTGGTTCAATAGTAGTATTCTTGATGCCAAGTTACTTGAATCTTCAGTATTTTTCTGGTTTCCGTAAATGAGTATTGTTCCATTACAATGTTGCATATTTTACAGAAAGTTTGAGGTCTCAGTGAACAAGGTATATATATAGGTGACTAGCAAGTGCAACTTAAGTAGAGAAAAGACAAGTCAAATGGAAGATAATTAGACAGATTTAGAGTGAATGAATCGCTGTTTAGCCATGACAGGCAATTTCTAAAGAAGTTAAGTCAGAAAAAGTAAAGTAATGTGTCAGGTTTTATGTATATGTAAGCTTGTATTCTTTACAGTAGGTGTCTGCGACTTGTTGGCTATGAATTCGAACAATAAATGTACAGCACACACAGTCCACTTGTTTTAAAATAATATACTCAAAACAAGTCAAACAGATGTACAAAAATTCTTTACATTATAGGATATCACAGTTGTATATAAAACTCTAAATAATTCTCTTCTTTCTTTTGTCAAACGTCCACATAGACTGATTCAAGTACTTTAGAATCCAATTGACAGGGCGAATTATTTTTCTCTATTCTGTTTCTTACTATACAGACTGTGATTAATTCACTTATGTTACCTCATGGGTTACTCGTGGGCATGCAGTTCTCTTAGCCACCAAAGTGCAACTTTAAGAGGAAAATAGCTAATCTGTGTATGGAGGTGAGTATCTATTGAAAATACATTTTCAATTAAGGAAAATGGTATTTTTCACCTTTTTTTCTTGCTTGTAAATTGTTCTTCATTATTACGGTTGTGAAAAGTGTACAAATTTTTATATTTCTAATCAGACTTCAGTTAATTTTTCTGCAACTTAGAAGTGATTTAATATTTTGTGTTTGCAGTACAAGGAACGAGATAGCTTAGAATCTGTGTTCAAGTTTTGGCGAAATCCAGATAGTACTTTGTTTGATATATCAAAATATTGGTAAGTTTTAGTGGTGTTGAATATATTTAAATTGTAGTAAAAATGAATTTCGATAGTCTACCATTCGTTAGAACAGTTATGTTCTACTCCATTTTGTTTTAATTTTTTGTAATTTGTTCATTATGTATTTCAAATCAGAGGTATGTATTTCAGATTTATCTTTTGCTTGTCATAAATTACGACTCAGGAAGTTTATTTTGTTTTTGATGCCAGAACTCATTGGCTGGACTAGTCTATGAAAGTGAAATTTATTTATATTTGTAGTGTATCAAAACTTTAATGTTGAGGTTTTGAAAATCAAAGCTTGTTATAGCACAAGAAACTAATATGCCTAACATGATTGCCTTAAACCTAATCATGAATATTAGACCTATTGATTACCAGTTTTTGTGAGCTCTTTTTGTTTAACACCCTAACTTTAAAAAATGGGTTTTATTTTAAATATCTAAATTCATTGAGAAGGGGTTTTGTTTCATACATTTGAATATTGTTAGGTTTAGCAGTTGTTTGTTATATTTCTAATGTTCTTAAGGAAAAATTCTGTTTGATACAAATAAGTATTGACCACCCCAAATATTTGATACATTTTCATTTGAGTGTTGTTGAAAAAAGATGTTGAACACATTAGTGTTTATTTAGTAAAGGTATCAATTAATAATCACATTATTATTAAATAAATATCTGGTAAAATGGCTAATTTATCTAACTAGTGTGAACTGATAATGATGTTGCTTCTAAGTTTTGGCAATGTCAGATTTTGATTGGTTTTATAAAACAAAATCTAGACAAATACATGTGTTTGATACATATGTGTTTTGATATATAAAGGACAGGTATTTTTTATATATCCCATTAATGGTAACAATAGCTATGAATAAACATGTTGAGAAGGAGGTTATAGTTATAACTATGTTATGGTTGGATTGTCCTTATTTCGCATAATGACAGCTTAATGAGGTCAACTCTGAACTACAGCAGTCACATGATGTACACAAACACATTACATATCAACAAGTTAAAGTTTTGTGTCAGTGGTGATCATTTTAGAACTGACTGCTTCGGGAATCAATGGCGAGTCAGTAGGTCGACTCTGATGGTTACAAAAACAGTGTGTCAGTGGTGATCATTTTAGAACTGACTGCTTCGGGAATCAATGGCGAGTCAGTAGGTCGACTCTGATGGTTACAAAAACAGTGTGTCAGTTGTATGGTCTTTACTTGGGTGAGGAGGAGGAAAATGCTGGTGATACGAAGCCTTTACGTAGAGATTCATACGATAGAACATTAATAAAGGAATTATTTGACTGCTCTGATGATTGAATAATCACTAACACCTGTTGTATGGTTTGTTTTATCACATTGCAAAAACTACTGGTTAAATGTGTTTGAAACTTGAGATGAACTTTTTACAGATTAACTAGCATCTGTAAAATTAACTGTTTGTGTGTAAGTACTTGTCCGTATCATCAGCTATGAAAATTAGAAAATATTTCTTAGTGAACTATTTTAAAAAACAATTTAAACTGCTTACATTTATTGTATATTTCAATTACTGATTTTTATGTCTTCCTACATTCCTGTAAAGCTATTTTATTTTATAGAACTGTAAGCTGACCTTTTTTTTTGAGTCTAAAACACCACATTCAGTATCATCATATTTACATTAATTTATGTATAATAGAACTTTTTATCATATTTTAAGGAAACTTACTTTTTTAAATCTTAATTACAATGTTTAATTTAGTATATGTAATAAGTTTTAAACCTGTTTTACATCCATATGTATATTTTTTTTACATTTCTTTTTGAAGACTTTCTTTTCCCATTCAATCTATTATTTAGGCCAATTTGGCCTAATGTAAACATGGCCAAACAAACAGCAAACTTGTTGACGAAAAGATACTTGATATGATCAAGTGCAAAATGATCAAATTAAACCTAACAATACTGAATCTGATCTTGTTTCACCTAAAATGTTTATTATCCTATCATATTGCAGTAACATAATTCACATGTAATACGAAATGATAAAGTAAGTGTTTTGCAAGTTTGAAGAGAAAATTAAGACTGTAATTGTGGCAGAAGTTGTTCACAAGTTTTTTTATCTTTAGCAACATATCATCAAGTTAATGACTTCTCACATATTTCATCCAATATCCAAACTATGTTGAACAAAAGAATTCATATACACATATTTCACTCCTATGGAGTTTTTCCATTCCAAAGGATAAGTTCAGTTATTTTTGAAGTATCACCTCATTGTTTATAATATTAGTAATTATATTAGGCACTCTTTACACTTAACCTAGTGTATATAATGGTATGTTACATATGTATATATAAATTTATATATGATAAAAATTGTATCAATAGGATACTGCAGTTAATAGGATTCATGCCAGAAATTGCAATTAAATATTATTGAAAAACGTATATTATTACCATATAATTTTAGCACTAAATATTATATGAGAGTTATGATTTAAATAGTTATAAAATGTGAGTGTTAAATCTAATATTTTTGAAGCCATAGTTTATTGCAGATTTGCTTACATAAGTGTTTATGAATCATTTGTTGTGAATTGGTGTAATGTTACTCGAATCTTCTGAATTTTTCTCGTTGCTTTGAATGAGTATTGTTGCATCATAACGTGTCATTGTTTGTAGAAGGTTCCAGGGCTCAGTTGGGCAATATATGGGCAAGTTAAGTTACTGAAAGTAAAAGTTGAATTAAACTGTGTGTCAGTTTAGCTGTAATGGGAGATTTCTAAAGTGAGTTTCACAGTTTGTGTTGTAATAACAGATATAAAGAAGAAGAATTTGTCTTGTCAAAGGGTGTTTTAAAGTAATTGAACCCACCTATGTGTATTTTGAAGAAAAAGAGACATTTATTTAAAGCTCTGGATACAACTGTGATAACAAATAGTATAACGAATTTTTGTACATATCCTTGACTTGTTTTGAATATATTATTTTAAAACAAGTGAATTGTTTCTGCCTGTTTATTTTTGAAATTTATTGTCAACAAGTCACAGACACTTACTGTAAAGAATCCGTCCCTATAAAACCTGACACATATAATGAAACAGCATAAAACAAACATTCACTTGGTCAAGAAAAAACAATAGCATTAAATAAAGGAACTATAATTTGAGAAAGGTAATTTGTTGTGATTTGTTTGCTAATTTGGTGAAATGTAACAAATACATATATTTTCTCTTAACCTTAAATTTTAGCCATGTTTACCTTAGTTAAAAAGACAGAAACTGCCAATCCTTGTTTTGTTCTCAGAACTTAAATTTTACACAGTAAGCTCAGCATTTACACATTTTATATCTACAAGGGTACAAGTTAAAGTTCATTGTTACATTGTGTGCTGTCATGATTATCCATAAAATGTAATAATCTTATTTCAGTTTCTCAAAACAATATCAATGTCAAAATATTTATAATGGAAACTAAACTAGAGTATATTTCTCCCTCAAGGGACTTGAGATTACGTCACCTTTTAGGTCCTCGTTTTGACTCAAGAGATGGTGTGTTTGACTGGGATTATAACATGAAAATACTGAATAAAGGTGTAAGTTTTTTATTAACTTAAACTAAGGATATTGTCTATAGAAATATATTATTTTTTGACAGAAATTTTATATGTACCTTTTCAATAGTATTTCCTGTTATTTAATGGTGACAAGATTTTATGTGTGAAACAGTATGATAGTAGTACAAATTTTTGATTGTTGCTCTAGGATTGTTCATAATTAAGAGTAATAATTTATTTTAAACATTTTGAATAGAATTATAGTTTCAGAAGAAACTTTGCTGAGTTCTGTTGATATAAGATTTGCTCCATTTTAGTGATCACCAGACTTCTTTTGAAGAAATGATGCAGAAACGTAAAACATATGTAAGCTATTTACTCTTATTAAAAACTTGAACAGGAGAAATGGTATCTCTGATTTCTGTTGATTTAAAATCACCTTTAGTTTAGCAATCGCCAGACTCTGTCAGGTCTAAACTCATCCTTATCTTGACTAACTATCAAAAATAACTATTTTAAAGCTATAGTTCTAAATCTGCTGTCATTGAAAATTCTAAGGATGGTCCACAATGGTAAAAGCAAAGTTTCCATGTTATAGTTAGAAAAAAAAATACTATGTTTGATTAAATGAAAAAAACATTTTTCATTAACTTTGTATCAGATAACAGAGTTGAGGATGAGCAACAATTATGGATGTTAAATGTTATCTCAGTAATCTAAAACAGTTTATAAACTACTGAAAAAACTCACATAAATCATCCACAAATCATGCTATAAACCCAGAAATATATCAAGCACATGAAAAATACTGGATGTATACCACTTTTAAAATCAAGTAATTCTTGTTTACAAATTTAGCATACAAGTTATTTTATACACTGTACATGGAATCAGTTTCTGTCATATTTAAGAAATAAATTGCAAATAGACTGGAATGGAAAAGTTGATGCCATTTAACTGTAAAAGTTACAACCAAATGTTTTAAGATCCCGAACAATGATAATTATAAAATGTTTCTGATCTAACTAAGAATAGTCCAAGCTTTTTTAATGAGTTTGGTTATGGTATGATACCCGAGGCATAGTGTCAATTTTTATATTGCTGGGACTCTGCCAACATTTGTCAGACGTTTGACATCACCTTCAAGCTAAAGATCTCATATTCAAAATCTAATTTCCGTTATTTTTGTCACTCCATTTTAAATAAAGAAAATATATACACCACTAATTATTTGAGACTATTACATTAACACTAAATTTGAATACATATGCATTACTGAGAGAAAACATACAACTCAACTTCCTTTAAAGCAGACAGAGAAACGAAACAACTGGGTACTAAATAAAAATCACCAATGCTTAAAAAAGAAGTTTTAAAAGCATGTATCTTATAAACTTACTATATTTATAGCTCTACTGTAGGCCTTTTAAAATGTATCTTATTAAATGTTTTAACATCATATTCGTATGACTTAATAACCACATGATGTATGACAAAAACATTTCATCATTTAACGTTCTTACATCTGCTCTTGAATTGGAGCAGTAACACAGTGCCTGACTCCAGCTTCTGAGGGAGAGTAATAGAGTGTGTGCTAGCTGGGCAGCTTAAGAGCACTCTACCAGTGAGCATGGAGGTTCACAAACAGCCAAAGTGTTCTCTGACACTCTGAGAGTTTTGTTATGAAAGACACATAATTTCAGGTGTAAATTGAATAACTTATTTTTTATATACATATTTTTAGTTTTTGAAGTGTTGGTACTTGGCTTTTTTTTACTTTAATAATAATTGTAGTTAATTTGATAAACCTCAAGTTGTAATACAAGGGTAGTAATATGTTTTAGGCATCAATAATCAGTTCATCGGAGTATAAGTACTGGAGAAAAACAGGTATAGCCTTCCATTTGAGAGAAGGAGATTACAATGGGCCTAACAAAACTCTAACTTCGGAGCATGTAAGTGAGAAAAGATTTTTTTGCTTCTTTTTTATCAAAATAGAATGTATGCTATTATTAAAATTTAAATATTTATAAAAATTTTAATATAGTCACTCATACTGGTAAATACCATCAAATGTTGTAGCTTCTATAATAATATGTTGCTTAAGATTTACTTTCACTAATGTAAAATGGGTTATTTGTAGTTCATGTAATGTTTTATTCATGAATTCTCATAAAATTGATAAAAAATCCCTCCTAAAATTCATGGGAAAATATGGGAATTTGTGCAACTGCACGATGATGTATCATGCATCTAAACTGTCCACCAACAGAAGTGCAACACACCTCCTTTCAAAATTTGTTCCTGTACATTGATGCTAGAAATTTCCATTCTTTTCCTCAGCACAGTTGTGTCAAAACATGTTCATATTTTCTGAGATTTGCAATTTTGTCTCTACTATCAAATTGAAATTTTATTGAGTTTAACATACTCAATATTATTTCACAAATAAATATGAACTCCATTTCTACTGATGTGGGTGAAAGATTCCTCACACAGAGCAGTTGACCACCATTTCTGCTGACGTCCTTTCTCTGTGGGAGATGTGATGATCATCTTGCATTGTGTGGCAGTGTCCTTATGCAGCCAGTACCCTCTGTTATCTCTTCCACTCATTTCCTTTGCCATTTTTTTTGGGCCTTACATTGAAGAGGTCAATTTTGTATGCTTCTTCAACCCAATTTGCAGGAATACTTCTCTACCTAATGAATATCTTTCAACTTTCCCCATTTGTCCTTCTACTCATGGTTTCCTTTTTTCTCCCTGACCAGTTAGTTCAGTATTTAATTTCTGTAGTGCATATTGGTGTATAGAAGACATATTAATACTGACCATTTAGTTCAGTATTTAATTTAAGTTGTGCATATTGGTGTATAGAAGACATATTAATACTGACCATTTAGTTCAGTATTTAATTTCTGTAGTGCATATTGGTGTATAGAAGACATATTAATACTGACCATTTAGTTCAGTATTTAATTTCTGTAGTGCATATTGGTGTATAGAAGACATATTAATACTGACCATTTAGTTCAGTATGTAATTTTAGTTGTGCATATTGGTGTATAGAAGACATATTAATACTAGAAATAAATAAATAACCTTATAACACCAGAATGTCAAGTGTCGTTGTTTCAAAAACTTGTATAAATATTATGGCATAAATAAAAGTGACTCTATTACCCAGTGAAACACCACTGAGTTGGAGATATAGTGTGTTGTCAAAACGAAAATATCCAATGTGAAGGATGAAATGTAAACTTTCTCTGACAGTGTCCATTGTCAGTCCGTACCTCTCTAAATTGTTTATGTGATTTGACATGAATTCACACACTACATTGATGCCATGCTCTGTTTGTATACATTGATAGAGAGCTATGACATCCAACGTAAAGAGTATTGTTATGTTGGTCACTAAGTGAGGTACATCATTGAGTAGAGTCACTTCTTGTGGTCCCTCAGTGGGACAGTGGTAAGTTTACAAACTTACAGTACTAAAATTTGGGGTTTGATTTCCCACAGTTGACACACCAGATAGCCTAATGTGTTTTTTCTCTAAAACAAACAACAACGCTTCTTATGTATCAGTAATCTCAGGACTCTTGCTTGTTATTTAACCTCTGTAAGTTTTTTCAATCTTTCTATATTGCTCAACATCCCTTTTCACAAATATAGGGATATCCATGGCTTAGGAATTAATTATTTATCTAAAAAAGAACACTGTCTCCCCTTATGTGTGATCCTATCTATGGAGGTTTTCAGTTAGGACTCTCCAATGTTGCATATACCTATGTGTTTGTCATAGACAAAAATTCACACTCTATGAAAGGGTGTTACCCTTTAGAAGTGAGCACAGAGTGCCTTCTGGTGACAGATGATGTCTTGGTGGGTATCTTTCCTACCTCTGTATGCATGGCCTTACATGAAATTAGAGATGTTAGAAACAGGAATTCTGTTATCACTAGATGTCTCAGCTGGATAAGCAGCAACTGTGATTTTTTCCCCCTATTTATTTATCTTTGGTGACTACTTAGATCTTTCTTTGGTTCTCCCTTAGTACCCATTAATTTGGCCAGTTGTGTGACTCGCTGGCAATTTTCAATATGGACAAAAAACACTACTGCCTCTGAAGTATGTCCTTTCATAATACCTGTCTGGGCTGCTCCCTTAAGAATCTTCCACTGCAGGAGTAGGACGTAGTATTCCTCCTACCTGATTATGCTACCACCTGCAACCCATTGTTGGCTCCACAGGTTCAATCCACCATTGATCACTCACAAAACTGAACCCTTTGCTTGAATTAAAGGGTACTATGGGTGAAGAAGTGCCCTACTGAGAAGAATGTCCTTTAAGTCCAGACTTTTTATGAGACTGGTATACTACATTCATTCTTCCTCAAATACAATTCTACAAATTATCTTCTGGTTCTGGATGCTGCTCAGACTCTTCTTTGATACATATTTCTTGTAGTCTAGATTATTATCTGGACTGTAACTTGTTCTTTTATATTTTTGGTTTCTTTCATGTTATTTGCTTCCCATCTCTATTACAGTGTATTCTGTCTTTCAGTATTTCAGAGGTAAGTCTACCTAATTTGAATTTTATATTGTTATCCTTAAATGAATTTGAAACAGGCAATCACACCTTCCCACAACTGAAATTTCATGACAGATGCAATTTTCAACAAAATTTAAATTATGGCAGGAAAGCAGAGCCCATATAAGTCACATGGAAGGTGAAAGAGTGGAGAATTATAGGTAAGTGACAACTGCTCTGCATTGTATAAAAGACATTTGGAAATTTTTAGTCACATGTTTTATTAACAGCATTAGTTCTTCAAACTCAACAGAAGTAAGTACCTGTTTGAATTCTAAAAATTTATAAATTAACTATTGATAATTTTCTTTACAGCTCTTCATCTACTTGCAAACAACTTAAATGTTTTATTTATTAAATAAACTTGTTTTCTTACTGTGAGATTATTAAAATACATGTAGTTTGCTAAATTTATACCTACTAATGATTACATTTTTCAGGAAAATCAGCAGTACATAAGAAGGGGATACTGGGGTGATGTCGTTTCTAGTCCATACCTTGCCTTTGGCATTGAGTGTGAAGATAAAGAATACCTAAAGAAATCCAACAACATTCACTGCAAGGTAATATAAGGTTTAGTTTTTGTTTGTTTTTCTTGTGTTTATTAGTATTTGATCATTATGTGTCACGTTCTTCTGTTATTATTTACTTGGAAAATTAAAAAAATATTAATCAATGAGTTGTTCTACTGTCTGCAGGGAACTCATCTCAAGCAATTATCATCACTGTTTCTTTTCATTGTGAAAACTTTTTTCTTCTTTTGGTAGACTGCACAGGATGTATCAGCAAGGAACGTAACAGCTATGATGTATGAGCTAAAATATTCCAGACCATATAAGAACTGCACTGAAAACATTTTTGGAGAAAGAGAGGAAAATCATAAGGGTATGATGTGCTCTGACAACAGCAATTAAGTTGATCTATTTGCTACTATAGTCTGAAACATTTAACATGATGTTATATTAAGAAAATTTCTTTTCGTGTATAACCTTACATGAACTTGTAAACATTCTGTCAGAAAGACTTAATCAAGAATTTTGTTGGTAACTCTACCCTGTACTGGGCTTTCAAATTTTAAGCTAGTATTCACATACACTATCATTTCCATTATGTTTAAATGGCTTGGTTTTTCTCTTTAAAATTAAATATTATTCATACATTGAACGAGTTAAGAAATTTTTGCAAATGTAGTTATTTCTCTCTTCTAAATTCAGGCCTTTTAAAAAAATGCAAAGTCTGCCAGTTTTTCAATGGTATAACAACAACAACAACACTAAAATGCTGGATAACATAATACTGTAAAGAATCTCTCTTGAATTAAAAAAAAACAACAGTCCTAAGCAGTTATAGTAAATGGCCAGAACTTGAAGAATGTATTTTAAAAAGAGAACGATTTTTGTCTGATTATTGATAAAAGTTAGAAACCTTTCTTTGATTATTCAAATTTAATTAAAGAACAACAGAGTTCTAGAATATTTTTATTGAAATATTGAACTCAAGAGCATGTTTTTTTCCCTATTTGTAAAAACTTGGGTGAGCATTGTTGCAGAATAGTTTTGTTCAGAGTTAATCACTTTGAAAGGATGCATAGTTAAGCTATTATGTTAACTTGCCACTTTATTAATACCTAGCCTTTTACCTCAGACATTTATTGATTGTACATACCATTGTAAGCAAGTTTGACTGGTCATGCCGTGTGTCAAGTGTATTTGCTTGAGGTCTATAAGTGCAGAGGTAGTCTTATCATGGGTATTCTGCAAGAGAGTTGGAGAAATAGGGATCTGATTTTCAAAGGAGTATGTTATCGTATTAGGTGCCTGTATAGGGAGCATCCTTATGAAAGACATCAGTCATCAGAGTCTAGCTACAGTAGTAACTGAAAAGTATGAGGATTGCCACCAAGAAAAAAAAAGTAGCAACCACCTGCTAGTAACTAACTGAAATTAAAGACAGTTAGACAGGCCTGTAAGTCACAACTAATAACATCTGTCCCAACTGACTGATTACTTTAACAATGGTCAAGATTTGACTAGCTCAGTTTGTACTGAGCAGAGCATTTTTTAAGGAGGGTATAAAGTGTTGTTTTTAGTATTGCCATAATGCTACATTTCTACTTTGATGGACAAGGAATTTTCAAATTGTGATAGTCATCCACTTGCTTGTGTTGATTCAGAGAGCATAACAGTGAATTCCAATAGGATATCTTACCTCTTCTCACAAAAAGCTTTTCTCAACTTATACTGCCCTCTGTTGGTGCGAATGTTTGCTTCCCACTAGCCTTGAAACTCCCACTTACCTTCATATTTGTTAACATGAGATATCTGCATGCTAACATGCAAGTTATCAGCAGCAACCCTCCACCAATAGGAGTGAGACTCATGAGTGAAAAACACATCCACAATAGGAGACTACCAATCGAGAATCTGTTAACAGCTGGTTTAACATACACAAAAGTTTTTACTTTCTTAATTTTCAGACTTCTTTTTCTATATCATTTGTTATTTCCCATTTTTGTTCTACGTGGAGAGTTAAAAATTATTATTATTTTTTTCTTCTCTCCTACTTCACTTTTGAGTTATGCACTCGCAATTTCCGGTAGTAACAACTTCAACTGTTGTAACTGCTGTAGCAAATTTACCTACCTATTCCCTGGAGTCCAAACCATTATTATCAGCCCATGAAGTGATGGCTCTAGTGTGTTGGGAATTGACCAATTTTGTGCAACAATCAGAACACACTGATGATGGTCCTATCATACCTTCTCAGGGCTTGATTGTTTGGGAAGAAGAGGATTTGGACAGCCTTTATCCCCCCCCCCTCCTGAATATGCCTCTCTGTTGCATGTTGTTTTGGGGGAATTGTGCAGACCTCCTTCACATTTTGTGGAATTGTTTAATCAGATATGTTATGTTCTGCCCTTATCTCCTGTTTCCTATGGTTTCACCCCAGCCCTTCTCGGGGACGAGCATTTGGGTCAATATTTAGTATTTCCTCCTTCTCCAGATATTGGGGTTCATGCGAGTCATCAGGGGAGCAACTGTGTTCGAGGGTCAGTATGTGTACTATGGATGAACATGCTTTTGCTTATCATTGTTCGAAATTTCATTATTTAGACTCACAGCATAAGGAATCGCTTATCCCATTGTTTTCTCATATTTATCTTACCCTGACTACCCTTCTCCATTCCTTACCATCCCTTCACCTTTTGTCTGAGGCTGTTAATTGCTCTCCTGAAGGGTTTTCTGACGTAACTTTGAATCTCCTTTTTTGCTACCATGGCATGCCTTTCCTCTTTGTTCGTGGCATTACAGATGTGGCTGCTCTGTTGTTGGGATCTTCTTGGTAGGGACACATTTTATCTAGTTTCATTTACCTTCCACCTCATTGTATGACTTGTGCATGGCACCTTTTTTGCATTAAGAGGTGTTTGGGGGTATCCCTCACTCCGAGACAAGTGGTGAGTCAGCCCGTTTGCATACCTCCCTATATCCTTGGCCTCTCGTTTATCCCACCAACCTGTTCATGTCCATGTGTATCCCCTCCCCATTCCCTGTCATTGACTATGTTCTCTGGCTAGAGCTGGTGGGGGCCAGACTCCTTTGCCCAAGTTAAAAGGTCCTTTGCTGTGGATCCATGGATTTTGAAAGTCATCTCAGAAGGTCCTCCAATTCTATTCACCTCTCCCATTGCCTCATAATCCCATTTTCTTTCATCCTTCTAGGGATCTCATTTCTTGCCAGCACCTTTCAGAGTCAGTGGAAATCCTTCTTGTCCATGCTTTTATTCTCATCTGTTTGTTGTTCCTAAAATAAAAGATGGGGGGATTGGCACCCAGTCATCAATTTGAACTGCTTCCTAGTCATTCCCAAGTTCACCATGGAGTCATACTTAGCTCTTCATTGAGGTTTGTGGATGACAAAGATTAATGTGTTGGATGCATATCTCTATATCACCATCTTCCCTGCATCCAGACAATAGTTTTGCTTTGTTCATCAAGGGTGTGTGTGTGTTTCAGTTTCAGGCACTTCCGTTCAGACTTACTTCAGCTCCCTATGTATTCTGTTGAGTAGTTCAGGCTTTTTCCCACCTGCTTCATTCCAGGAGCCCTCGTTTCCACCATTATAAAGATGATTGGCTTCTTCTTGCCTCTTCACAAGACAACTCTCTAATACATACTCAGTTTTTTCTCCAGGAAGCTGTCAGGGTGGATTGGCTTGTCAAGGTGCAAATGTCTGTTGTCACAACTGCACAATATTTGGTTCATTCTGAGGTGTTTTTCACCTCCCTCATCAGTCAGGCTAACCTTCTTCACTTTGGTTGAGAGCTATGAAACATCTTATATGCAGTATGTCATCCTCTCCTTTTCCTTTTGTGTGAGAGGTTCTCTTTCTTTTGGGAGCTTGAACTTCTCTAGAATCCCTCTTTCCTCATAATTGTGCCCATAAGCATTATCTTTAGTGGGTTTTGATAGACCAATGGGGCCTTGTTTGGGATCCCTTAGATGGTGCTCTCATCCTTCCTCTTCCTTACAGACTGAAATCACATTACCTTCCTCTTCCCCCTCCTCATCTGGAATGTCACCTTTTTATTGATTCTTCTCCTTCCAGTTGGGGAGCATATCTCAACAATCAGGAGGTTTTCGGGAGATGGACTCGTCCATATCAATCTCCTCAAACTTCTTGTAGTTTGTTGAGCTTTACTTCACTTTTTGTGTGCTCTTTGAGGCTAGTTGGTAATGGGTACACTCTGACAATTCTATAATAGTCTTGTTCATCACCAGGCAAAGGGACACTCAGTTGAGAGACCTCTGTTTTCAAACATTGGATCTTCTATATTGGGCCCACAACCATTGCATCATTTTGTTGGCATGTCATACTCCAGATGCCCTGAATCTTGTTTTGGATTGGTTATCCCATCCCAACAAATTTCTACTTATGGAGTGGTCTTTGGTTCCTTGTGTTGTAAGGGAGTTGCATGCTCAATGGGGTGTCCCAGTTTTGAATGCTTTTGCCACTCATCTCAATACACAACTTACCCAATTTTGGTCTCCTGTTCCTCATTCTTTGGCAGGGGAAGCAGATGTTCTCATTAAGGATTGAATTGGTCGGTACCTATATGCATACCCTCCTATTCATCTCGTTATACATGTCCTTGCCATAATTCAGACCATTCTTTGTCGTGTTCTATTGGTGGCTCTCTATTGGCCTTCTCGAACATGATTTCCACTGCTATGCCAGTTTTTGGTGTCGCCCCTTCCTATTCCTTTATCTCCAACACTCCTGTGTCAGCTCCAATCAGATGTGCATCATCTGTCCATTCTCACATTCCATCTTCATGCATGGCTCTTGTCTGGTCCCTCACCAGAAGGGCTAGACTTTCACAATGTGTGGCTTCTTTACTTTTGTGTCCTATTTGTCCTTCATCCATGGCGGTTCATCAACGTAAGTGGTACACTTTCCACTGTTTGTCTGTCTGATGGGATTATCATCCTTCTCATCCTATGGGTCCTCACATCACAGCCTTTTGATGTGGCTTTTTGAACCTTTGTCTTTATGTTCATTATATCGCCTTTCCTTGAAGTCCCATTTCCTGCACATGTTGGCATGCGGATGTCATTATTTCAATGTGTTTGCAGTTGATGTATGCTGCATTTTTTTCATAGTTCCTATGTTCTACTCTTTCCAAATTGTTCCTTTATGCCCAAAACTTTGGCTGCTCATGAGAGTAATTCTGCATTCACACCCAGTTCCCTTCCTTCCATATCCCACCTTTATGACCATTCCAGTCCTGACTGCCTTCTTTGCCTGGTCAGGGCTCTCTGATGGTATATGACATGCACTGCTCCCTTTCATGGTTCCCATTTTCTTTTATTTATTCCTTGGAATCATATCCTCTCTTGTGACCTTGGATTTGCCCAGTGTATTCTTCCCTTTCTCCTAATGGTTGTCGTCTTTTTTCATGTATCTTCTCATCAGATCTATTGCTTTACCTTCCCTTGGAGGACATCATCAATGCCAGTATGTAGACCACTCTGCATTCTTTTAAATCTCATTATCTTCTGTTTCTTTCTGAGTAGTAAGTACTCAGTTCATTTTATTTTCATTGCAGGGGCCTTTCTCTCATATTTGGATCCCACTCTGTGGAAATTGTTGCCTGATCGGGTATGCTTGTTCTAAATCTGCAGTGTAAGACTGATACTCATATAAGATATCAGATGATCCATGGCATTGACACTCTTCGTACTGTGGACCTGAGGTATCATTCCAGGTTTTGGTTGATCAACTCTGTGAAGGTGATCTCTTTGTTTTTCCGTGTACAATGTCATATCGCATAACCAGGTCATATTACATCCACTATTGAGATGGGGTGTTTTGCGAGACTATTAGTAGGTATACTTAGTGATCTTTTGCTTCATAAATGTGTTCATCCTGAACTGTACACTCATGGGCTCATATGACTGAAGCAGACAGGGATTACTGCCCATCTCTGATGATCCATGGCATTTGAGGCTCATCCTACCTCGAACCTGATGTACAATTCCAGATGCTGCCAGGTGTTGGTTGATCAACTCCATCAAAGTGATCGCTCTGCTTTTCAAAATAGGTATCTCAGTCACCCATTGTACCATCTCTGATGCTGCAATCCTCCAGACTCTCAAATGCACTCTTTCCCTCCTTCTACTGGTGTATGGGAGTTCTTACTATCTTACCAGTTCCTAGCAATTTGGATGTTGTACCATGGAGGCCTGTCCTCCTGAGTGTACACAATACCACTCATTTGAGAGTAGGGTTGTGGAATTATGGTGGCATAGATGGCATGATGCCCTTCCTACTGTGGGCTTGATGCTCAATTCCAGATGCCGCCAGGTGTTGGTTGAGGTCAAACTTCTTTTTATGGTCTGTCACGTCCCAGCCATTCTACGTCTAGGGATCCCTTTAATTCTGTAGCTTTTCGTGGGGTCCCTCCTTTGTTTCTGCCCTTTTGGCAACACCTTACTAACAGCCAAAGAGTATACCCACCTCAGAAGTGGTGCAGTCTCCCACAAGTGTGTTGTTTTTACTTTATCCTAACACCTTATGTTTTTCATTTGGGTGCTTCCTGAAGGAGGATCATCTTCTCACCAGCCCTCCATCTGTTCAATATGGGATTCTAGCTTTTTGTGACAGGAAGTAAGATATTGTATCAGAAGTTAACATTTTCCTAAACTGAAAATATATTTCTGACAGACACTTGACTCTGCTCACATTTCACACCCGTCCTCCTCACTTCCAATATGGTTTGGTTTGATCTGACCAATCTCGAAGTGGTTAACAGCTGCAAGATTAGAGAGGGCACTAGTTACATTAGGGGTAGTGTTTCATTCCTAGTGATTGAAGGTTGCTGCATAGTCATTAGCATGTTGCTATGCAGATATCTCTCATTAACATATGTGAAGGTAAGTGGGAGTACCAAGGCTAGTGATGAGCAAAAATGTCCACCAACAGAGGGCAGTATGAGTTGAAAAAAAAGCTTTATTAGAAGAGATAAGTATCTATCGGAAATACATTTTCAGTTCAGGAAAATGTTAACGTTAACTTCAGGCATCTTTCATGGTCAATACAATCACCAGTTCTTAATCTGACCGAGCATTTTTGAGTCGAATTTGAATTTCACATTTATTACCATAATTATTTTCAAATCATACTCCTTTATGAATGGACCACTTTCGACATCTTGTGGGGGCTACTTCATGTTAAACTTAGACTGAGAAATTGTGATCACCACTTTCTGACATCTTGTGGGGGCTACTTCATGTTAAACTTAGACTTAGAAATTGTGATCTAATCTGATATTAAGTGCAAGTTACAGTACAGCGGTTGACTATTGTAAAACAATGAGTTGTTTATGAAATGCTAACAGTGAATAGCCTGTTTTTTGTAATGTTCCACTTTACTTATGAATGATTATATTATACAGAAATGTGCAGATACATTTACTTCATTTTGAAACAGTCTCTATAGTAAAGAGGATGGATTGATGGTTGACAGCTTATAACTATATTGCATTATTCCAGAAGTTTCTAAAATACTGGTGGAAGATGTGTTCATCTCCTGTACTGTCATGTGATTTTTCTGTTTCATATTACAACATTCTTAGTAATTCAAATACTTATACATCAGAAAAGATGTGAATTCTAATTTTTTTATTGTTTCTCACTCTTAATGCTTTGAAATAAACTATTGACATTTAATATTACACTGTATTCAGTTATTAAAATGTTTTCTGAATAATCTTTTCCACTGCTGACTTCAATTGTTTATATATTTTCAGCATACTGATTAGGTTATACATTTATAGAGTCAATGTCTGTTTTATTTTGTTCGAGACTTGCAATCTGTGAGTCAGGGTTCTTAATCCCATTACCAAACATGCTCACCCTTTCACCATGGGGGTGTTATAACATGACAGTCACTCCTACTTTTTGTTAGTGAAGAAATAGCCAAAGAGTTGGTGGTTAATGGTGTTGACTAGCTTTATGCAAAATTCAAAATGAAACAAATCTTTTATTCAGGTGATTTGTTGACAATATTATTGTGTTTCATAACTATATATATATATATATTAATTTGCCCAGAGAGTGAAAAGTTTTATTTTACAAACAAGCCTCAAAATTATCTCACATTATAGTAATTTTAGTACCTTTAAAATAAAATTTTAAGAATGGTTTAATTAGTTAATTGTTTCTGATTTTAACATTATCATTTTGCCTGTTGTTTATACACCAACTCATGTGTGTGACAGGAATTATCCATCTTCTTGGCTTATTTACCCACTTTATCATAGCAGTGGCAGCTTACAGTTAATTAATGAATTTTGATTTGGCACTATTGTTTTGCTTACTTATTGGTGAAGTTGAGTCTTTTTTTTTTTGTAATTGACCATGAGATCATGTATGAAATGTTAGACTTATGCACTTAATGGTGTTCAACTGTTTAATTCGAGTGACTTTCATTTGGTTTATTACTAAACTCGTGAAGAGCAGTAGATGTAAAGATTATTTAACGCTACATGGGAAAAGGAATGCCTTTTGTTTGTTAGAGCAAGCCGAAACTGACTCCTTATGTAGTTGAAATTTCAAAATCTTTAGGTTATTACTAAAACTAATAGATTTGTTTTTATAACAATATGAGCAGAGTTTATTTCAATAATAACGTTAGAATACTTTGAATTTTTAAAAATCAAACACGTGTAACATGCTCTGTATTGTTACTTTAGGGTTTGATTTTTTGTAAAAATCAAAGTTTGAGATGGTTTTATGTGCTACAGTAATATAATATTATACTTGGATCAGTCAGCTGTATTAAAGCCTATTTTTATTGTGTCTGTTTTTTACATTACAGGTTGTTTACTTTACATTAGTGTTAACTGCCTTACATATTTGATCATGTAAAACATGAATATATGTAAAGTTATATATTCATTAAAAATATACTTTCCTTTGCTAAATTTCTCAAAACAAAAAATGATCAGTTCATGTTGGCTAAAAGCCTGTTTTATGCATCGTATAAAATACTATAGTTTTATATGTATTTCCATTATTATGTTTTCTTTATGCCAGGTGATCTTAACATGTTCCAAATATCATTTCTTCCTGTCAACTTTATTTCTGATCTGAATAAGAAAGCATGCTATCAAAAGTTGTTTGATATAGTTTACTTTTCTAACAGGTAGGTTTAGCTGTTTTGTTTATTTAATTTTTTAATGATTATTCATAGTGTGTGTACAAATATACAAATACTCTTTTTAGCTCAATTTCACAGATTAGACAATATCAGTTTACATGGCTTTATCCTGTGAACCTCATGTTTAGATAATTTTTGTGATAGTTTGATTGGGTTGTTTATGTAGCATTTTACCATTCTTTAAAAACACTATAATGGCTGGAGACAGCTTGAATGGGTAATGAAGAAAAACTTTAATATAAGTTTAACATAACAGAAGTCAATTAAAAATCAGTTAAGTGATTTGTAAATTATATGAGCTCTGACAGTGCAGGTATCATTAAATTAAATTTTATAAAATGTCTAACTGAACGAGTTTATTGGCATCAAAAAAGGGTTTTTCTCTCATTTTATTTCTTGTGTGTGTTTATGGAATTGTTTTCCAAAGTAATAAGTGTAGTAGTTTATTATAAAATTTTGGCCATTTGCTTGGATGTTCTTCATTTTTCACATTGAACTTCTCAATTCATTAAGGGTGGAAATTAAATTACTTTCTTATCTGTCAGTTGTTGTGAACTTACAAAAGTATGTGAATCTTTTTCTTACAGTATGGTTCACCACTTCGTTCCAGAATTCTCAACTCTCTTGAAGCGAAATGCTGTTGTTTTAGTAGAAACAGCCAAGTGAGTTACAAAATCGATGTTTTACCCATAACTTCTTGTTCTTGTTTTAATGAAGATTGTTTAAAATATTTTTCATGATTTGTCGTGTCTTTGAATTAAAAAAACAAGAGCTTATAAGATGGGAAATTTACCCATCCTTCAGATTTCTTTATTAACATATATTGTGTTCACCTTCTCCCACAAAAATGATCAGAAAATCCCTTTTATTCTTGTCCATAAGTCACTTATAAAAAATATGTCATATTTCATATACCATGTACACGAATGTCCATATTCCACTTTTAGTCATTGTCCAAATCATAGTAAATACCATCAGTGAATGTTGTAGTATTCTGAACACCTTTAGATATGACTTCTAATTTGTGTGTGTGTTTCTTGTGCCCTTTGATTTCTAGGAATCACATTTTTGACACTGTTTGTGCACAGAACTCAACTTTGGCAATACCAAGCCACTGTAGGTGGGTCACTGATGTTATACTGAATTTGGAGAGTGCACACTCTACTTGAAACATAGCAGGACTGAATCTTTACATGTAGAAGACCATTCCTTTCAGTGCTAGCCCACATGTAACACAATTTGTCTTCAGATAGGTATGGTACCACCAGTTTCAGTTTGTATATGCCCATTGTTAGTTACTGTCTTCAGACAACTGTGGAAAGCTCAAAACCATATCATCTGCTACAGTTTTAACTCCACATTGATTTTTTTTTCAAAACTTCCATACTCTGAAATCTGTGTTGGGTTGTTTCACCAGTTTGACCATATATTGTGTCACAGCATAGGCCAATAGCAACAGCAAAGAGTACTAACATTTCTGACATAATTCACATTAAAAGGATTCAGAAGTTCCTATACAATACAAACTCCTCTCATACAATAGTTTTATTAATCTTCTACTGCCCTCTAATGCACTAAAAAGAAATGTTATTGCTTGAAGCACTAGCCTTTATGCCTCATAAGTTCAAGCTGCCCATTTAGTATGTGACAACCCTCAACCAATAGGAGCACCAGACACTCTCCTAGAACAGCTGGCTTCCACTATGCTGCTTCACATGAACTTTACTTTCTCAAGGCTTGGCATGACAAGGTGGGTTTGGGCACTGAATTAGAAATCTGAGGGTCTCTGGTTCGATTCCCCATCCCACCAAACATGCTCTTCCTTTCAGCCATGGAGGCATTAGAATGTGATGATCAGCATCACTATTTGTTGGTAGTGGGTGGTGATGACTAGCTGCCTTCCCTCTAGCCTTTCACTGCTAAATTAGGGATGGCTAGTGTAGATAGCCCTCATGTAGCTTTGTGTGAAATTCAAAACAAACAAACACTTTCTCGATTGGCTCAGTACAGGTCAGACAGATTTCTTGCTTGCTTTCCATTGGCAATCTTTCTTTTTCTTTGATATTTTGGACTTTGTTCATGTTTATTCTTTCTTTTGCTTAAGTTTTACTTTGCTCATTCTTAGTTGCTAACTTTAATTACCATTTTCACACAAACTATTGCAAGTTATGAATTTGAATTTTACCGTGATTACTGCCACGGCTCCTGAACTTATATGGAACACACAAACTCCTGTTACCCAGGCCTTGGGATCAGTGTTATCTGCCGAAGAGGTGCAAGCCTTGATTCATTGGGAGTTAGATTATAACATGGGACCTGGACCTCTTCTTTTGCCATATGGCCATGTTCTACATCTTTGGAGGAGGTTCAACCTTTTACTTCATTCCTCCCTTTCATTAAACAGGTTTATCACATTTTATTTTTCTTCCGTTTTCTGTGAGGCCTTTCCTTCCCTTTTGTATGAGATCCCTAACTTGGACGATTTGGTGTTTTCCTCTTCACCTGACATTGAGGTACATACCCAGCGATTTTTATCACAGTTAAGAGAGGGGGTTTGTATGCCTCGACCCTCTCAGGTTTCTGACCCTTTTGTTTGAGGTCTTTCATTGTTCTCCCTACGATTTTTCAAAGGACCTCAAATCCATTCTATGGATGATATTGGTGAGGCTCACTTCATTGGCTCTTTCCCTACTTACCTAGCTGCTTTGTTGTTGGAACTTGTTGGGGATATACGTGCTGTTTGCAGAGATCTGTCTTCCCTCAGGGACTTAAGGGTGGCTCCGTTTTTGTGAGACACCATTTTTTGGAGTCATCCTTATTCTTTGGAGTCCCATGTTGACGTTGTTAGGTTGCATACTTTCCTATCATACCTTGATAATTGTTTCTCACAACCTTCTCCTCTACAGCTCCTGATCCTCTTCCTGTTCCCCTCCTCCCCCTTCCACGTTTCGTCCTTTACCCACATCTTGGCATTCTCTTTGTTATTCTCATTTTCCTCATGCTCAACAAGAACATTGACAGCAGTTTAGGTGACTACACAATGGGGTCGGACTCCAGTTTGGTATTTTCTGAAAACACCCGATTGCTTCTGGAGGAGGTTGCTTGTGTGGGTTGGTGAATCAAATTGGAGAAGTACATTATTTTCCCTACACTGTATCTAATTCCCTTGGCAATTTTCTGTAATTCTCCCCTCAGTCAGGCCCAGCCTTCTTCACTACATCTTTGGAATATGGAACAGTTGGTCATCAAGATCCTATCCATTCATTCTCTTCCAGCTCAAGAGATTCTCTCAATTTTGGGGATTTGATTTTCCTTGAAGGCTCTGATACCCCTCAGTCATGCAGACATGCATTCCCTCCAGTGGAAATTCCATGAATGATGGACCTGCACCTTGGATCACTCTGTTGTCCTTCCTTCTTCCCTTTGAACCAACCTTGCTTGGTGGTTGGACAGAGACAAAACTATGGCTGGTGTTTCTCTTTCACCTCCTCAGACCTGCATCTTTTACTGATGCTTCTCTTGTGGGTTGGGGTGCATTTCTCGATATCTTGGAGATTTCTAGAATTATTTGTTGTCCAAGTCCAGGCTTCATGCCAACATTTTGGAGCTCTTAGCTGTTCTTCGAGCTGTGTCTCATTTCTTCCATCTTCTGAAGTAGGTGGTGGTTATGATGCATTCTGAGAACTCCACAATGATCTCATATATCACAAAGCTAAGGGGTACCAAATTCAGGTCCCTTTGTTTTCGGACTCTTGAGCTCGTATTCTGGGTGCATGTGCACTAGCTACATCTCTTGGCTTATCATATTCTCGGTGCTTTGAATCTTGTGAATTGGTTATTGAGTCAACACATGGTCATTTCCATGGAGTAGTCCCCCAAATCTTAAGATTTGTGATGGTTATGCTCTCGTCTGGGTACCCTGCACATACTTGCATTTGCCACCCATCTGAACAACAAACTGCTGTCCTTCTGGTCTCCAGTTCCTCTTCCTCAGGCTTTAGGGCTAGATGCCTTCAGTCAGGAATGGTGGGCCTTCCCATCTATATGTCTTATTCTCAAAGTAATCACCCTCATCCACACCACTCCGTGTTGAGTTTTCTTGGTGGCTCTGTTTTGTTCAGCTCAGCCTTGGTTCCCTCTCCTGAGGCCTCTGCTGTTGTCATCACCTCTGCCACCCCCCTGTCTCCTTCATCAACCTCAACTGGACACCATTCCCACCCTCTGGCTTCATGCATGGCTTTTGTACTTTGAATTTGATTCTGTACCTTAATTCTGTATAAATATATATATATATATATATATTATAAATTATTATTACTTACTTCAAGGTAAGAGTCAGTAACAACTCAAGGTGTTTCACAACTGTAAGGGAATTTCTAAACTATACTTTAGCTGAAAAAGGAAGAATGTTTTCCAAAGAAGACTAGACTTATAAGGCTTGCGAAACTAAATGAGTGTGATAAGTAGTACAGAAACTAGAGTTTTTATTGATTGACAATTAAGTGCTGAAAAGGGAAATAGGATTTTATAAGCATGTGCTTAAATAACATCTTTGTACACCTATGTTGCTAAATTCCAAACACCCCAAAAGGATTACCAATATTAAAAGAATTGCAGTGTTTATTGTATCGGCAACAAACCACATAATAAATGTTGTGACAGGTTCAAAGTGCAGGGTTGTTACTCTCGAAAAGTCTTGTTGTGAACACTGTAGGATACATACATAAGCCGATAAATTACATATCCTGTTGTTGGCATAAACGTTTTCACTGATTCTGAGTGCAGTGTGATAACTCTGAATTTTCCAAGAAAACATTAAACATCCTGTTCTTGGAGCAGGGATCAAGTTGGCTATCTGTTTGCACGTGCTTCATTACTTTCAAGGGTATCGTATTATGGTAGTGTCACGTAAACAGTCTACTGACATAATCAGCAATTTATTGGTTTATTTTCAGTGGGATTCTACTTTAGCCATTGACTGTAAAATAAACACATAAAATAAATGTGAAATGTTTAGCAGTTCAAACTCGTAAGAGAAATACTTTGAAACTTCTTGACAAATAATAATGAAAAAAGGCACAGCTATTCCCTTTATTTCTAATTTTACAACTTATCTTTTCATTATACTTTCGGGATTTGTTTATGGGTTAAAGACTCAAGTATATCATTAACTAACTGATAAGATATAGTTTTACTGAAAACAAATGTTTAAAATGTATTGAGGAAGTTTTAAAAATTAGACAAAAGAAATTTGAGATTTTGGGGATGAAGAATAGTATTTTTAATAATAACATGAAAATCACTTCTACTCAGACTAGTAAAGAAACAGACTCGATATATTCATAAACAAATCTTTAGTAAAAATACTTTATTTAAAAATTTTATTTTTGTGTACAAAAGACTTGTAATGTTTACTAAAGGTATACTAAATTTTGGGAAGATGCACATACTGAATTAAAAGTTATAGTATAAAAACTTAATGTGTGCAAACGTGTATACGAACTCGTGTATATTATACTGAGCCCACTGTGAAAACATTAACCATCATCTTATCTTCTGGATTTACATATGGTCCCATTTCTATGGCAATATGTCTTTGACACATCCGCCAAGTCTTTGGAATCAACAGTTGCATCAGTGCAACATTTGATCTACCCTTTCCAACCTTGTTGTCTGTTTGTCTCAGTCCAAGCCCAATATGGCACCTGTTACCATTTACTGTACCTTCTGCTTCTTCTCAGGGTGCCTCGTCTTGTCATTTTCTTCGACGACACTCATCACGTCACCAACAGTATTTTGAAAGATGACATCAGTAACTAACCCATTGAATTTCAAGTTTTTGGAAGCAGTAGGATGTTACATTATATCTTATTAGATAAATAACTTTTTGAATACTCTCCATGTTTGTTTTTTGTGTGAATTGTCATTTAAAATGAGCTGTCAAAGGTGTTAGTACTAGTACTCAAATTTAATGAACAAAAACACTGAAAGAGCTGTTTAATAATTTTGTGTGATGTTTTGCATTTGAAAGATAATTTGAATATAACTACATTCTAGATAACTGTGATTGTACATTTTTTGACAGTTTTCTCTCCATTGTTCAATAAATAACCTAATTTATACAGTGATGTTTAAAATATAGTAGTTTTGTAAATCTTGTTTCATTTGAATAGATGGGATAGGTATAAATAGTTTTTACTTCTAGTGTAAAATATATCCTTCACTCCTGCATTTAATTTTACTTGTTAAGTTTCTTTCTTTAGAGATAGAGTATTCATTATTTTAATCAAGAAGTTTTTATAATTCTTGTTCTGTTAACCTCAAATATAAAATGATTATGTATCCATAACATGTTATCCTCCTCTTGATGAAGTGCTGACTAGTTTTTAACAACCACAGGTTTATATTGGACCTGACATCTGAACAGGAGGCAGAGTACATAAAGAAAGTTACAAATATGGCTGAAGCTGCAGGGTGTGAAGTGAGTTTTTTATATTCTTATTTTGGTTCGGAGGACTGTAATTGTGAATATCATAGGCACCTACATAAGAGTTTACCATTAGCTCTTACAAGCTAGAAAAGGTCAGAGATTAAAATTAAAATAAGAATAATTATCATCTTACAAGTATGCCATCTGAGGTAGAACATTTGAACTGACGGCCCGGCATGGCCAGGTGGTTACGGCGCTCAACTCGCAATCTGAGGGTCGCGGGTTCGAATCCCCATCCCACTAAACATGCTCGCCCTTTCAGCCATGGAGGCATTATAATGTGACCATCAATCCCACTATTTGTTGGTAAAAGAGTAGCCCAAGAGTTGGCAGTGGGTGGTGATGACTAGCTGCCTTCCCTCTTGTCTTACACTGCTAAATTAGGGATGGCTAGTGCAGATAGCCCTCATGTAGCTATGCATGAAATTCAAAACAAACATTTGAACTGAAACACAAGTTATTTGATCATCAAAAATTATATTAAAACAGTTATAATCTCTTAGTAGGACATTGAAACAGATCATCTAAATGTCAAGAAATGACATTGAAAAGTTTTAATTCATTAAATATGGCACTGAAACTGAAATATAACTTATTTAATAGTACAAGAACAACACTGAAACATTGGTTTCAGAAATGCTACCCACCTCTTTACACCATTAAAAAAACCATTATCTTGCATGTATCTGCCATGGAATTTTCTGATTGTAACTTTGATTTCACTAGCAAACACATTTGTACTTTAAGCTTCTTTCAACAATGTATGCCATCTAAAACACTAAAACATGCAAGGCCCAGGCATTTTCTCCAATTAATTCACCAGTGAATAGAAGCACTTTATCTTTTTATTGACCTGACATTCACTTATTTTTCCTTTAGTTCACTCAGATTTCACTCTGTGGCAAAGTATTTTCCACAACCTTATTGAGCTCTGATGAACTGTGGTGTACTAATAAGTTCACTGATGATATTTCCAGCTTTATGCATTAGGTTGTTGGTTCCCATCTGTCTACTTCTTCTCCAGTTTAGGTCTATAATTGTTTTGATTTTTGGTCTTCTTTAGAGTATGCCTCGCTTGTAGACAATTTTGGCCAGCTTTTTCACCTCTGGCCTTTATTTCTGGCACTTCATTCCCTGGTGACTCAAAGAAAGGTCACAAGTGCTTAGAAAAAGTGATAACAATAACCCTATGCCAAACATGTTGAAAATCTTCCTCCTGTCAAATCTGGTTAAAAACAGCTGGAAGAAAAGTAATATAGGCAGGAGAAAGATGGTGCAGCATCTCATAATGAATATCATCATGTCCAACTGATGTACTGCTCGAGCATTGAAGATCGATCTTTCGTTCTACAAGTGTGGAAATGCGATTATAATTGTAGCTCAGAAAGACATTGGTGATTGTTTGACTTGTAACTTGTTGTCCAAAAAATGCAGGGGGAGAGGTGGAATTGTGACAGATGCACTCTCCATGTAACTCAGCAACCTCTTGGCCAAATCTTGCCATAATAGATCTTGGAACTCGTGGTTGAAGTGATACTTGAAGTGTACTTAACCAAAGACTCCTCCTGGCTTTGATGTTTGACCTGCTGGGCAAGAGCATGAGCCTACTGAAAAGCCATTAAATTCTGAAGGGTGGAATATCTGTAGCAGGCATCCCAGGCTTCTTTCTGGGCCTTACATGCCCATTAGCAGTAGGGAGCCCAATATGGATAAGGAAACTGTGGCAAACATGTCGAGGGTTTAGAGATTGTATGAACAGCTGCCTGTATAATACAGTTATTTACTGCCTTTACACAGTCATTAACAGAGAAGAGATTAACGACAGCAGGATCAAGTTCCAAGAGAGTGGTGAAAGAGAGCCATTGAGTCTGCTCCATTTTCCACTGCAGCACAGTTGAGTGGCATTGACTACTACCAATCACCTTCAGGAGGATGGGAAAATGATCACTGCCCCATGGGTGATTGTCCACTCTCCAGGAAAAAAAGGAGAAGAGAAGGGGAACAAATGTACAGATCAACATTAGTAAAACACTGATTAGGTGTGGGAAAATGTGAATATGAACCAGTATGAAAGAGAGAGAAAGGTTGTGATCCAAGACATGTGCTCCACAGAAGGACCTGTCAATCAATATTGACACCACTCCAGAGTGGACTGTGTCCATTAAAGTCTCCTGAGTTGAAGAAGAAAGATGGCAACTGTTAAATAAAATAATCAAAGTCTGCTTGATCATAATCCTCTCCCAGTAACAGGTAAAGAGAACAAACTGTGATGATATGACCAAAAGAGGCACAGATGGCAACAGCCTCCAGTGGTACAGACAAGGTGGGAGTTTGCTGGTCAACCAGCAGTGCTACACCCTCATGTACTCATCCATCACATAACCTTTCTTTCCTATACAAGGTAACAGCATCAGCAGGTTTTACGAATGTTTCCTGTAAGGACAGAACACAGGATGATAGTAATAAGTCAAGGCCTTAATCTAAATTGGCACAGAAATTTCGACAGTTTCACTGTATCAAAGTGGCCATTTTTAGTTAGGAGTAGGAGAACTGGGTGGAGAGCATTTATGTTTTTGTTTTTGACCATGGTGTTTTTGTGCTTACAAAACAATAGAGATGGGGCATAAGCATTCACTGGATGCTACAATAGGGACAGAGACAGGAGTAGACATGGACTTGTCAACTCGTGAATCACAGAAGGCAGAAGAACTTTAACATGGTGAGAGAAAGACTGATGGAGGAATGAAGAGATCTGTCTACATCCCCACTTTGGCAATAGAATGGGGTGAAGTTGCATGTGTCTGAGTTGGACAGGGGGCAACAATTTCTGTACCCCTGGAAAAGAAATGTTGTTAACAGTCCTTAAACTCTGTACATCTTTCTCCTCCACCCATTTAGGGCAAGAATGAAAGTAGGAGGGGTGGGAACCTCTACAGTTAACACAATGTGGGTCCAATTGACACTTGTACCCACTGTGGCCTCTGTCATCATGATGAGCACACATCAAAGGACCACCACAAAATGTTTTAGAGTGCCCATACTGCTAACACTGGAAATATCTGAAAGGGTTGGGGATATACGACCATACCTTACAGCTCAGATAACCTATCTTGACAGTGGCAGATGGATATGGTAATATAAATGTTGGTAGGCTGCATTATTCCATCTTTACAATTGGAGATCCATTGCAAGATTTTTTGACTCAGGGATGACAAGCAAGTCTCTCTCTTTCAATGATCACTCCTCAATGGAGCATGGGAAGTAACCTCAATAATATTATCCCCAATGAATTTTGATTTCAAAAAGAGGTTGCTATGTTGTGGTTTAGATATTTCCAGATTGTAGCTTCTTGATTGACTTAGAAGAGCCAGCAAGTAGCATTAAGAGATGGTTACTGTAGATCAGTCTTCCCTATATGGTCATTTTCAGTTATTGTTGGGTTTTTTTTTCTTTGTTTATTTTGAATTTCAGATTTCAGAATATCCATGGGAAAGGGTAAGAAATTTGGTACCCACTGACCCCACCCACCACAGAGTCCTACAAGGGGACGCAACACTATCAAACTAGGACAATGCAGCTACACCAAGGCTTTGTGGGCACTGTACCCAAACACCAGCACCAGACATAATGTCCATAACACCTGTTGAGATCGTCTAATTCTGACAATCAGTTGATTCTAGTTCCAAAGGACCAGCTGACTTACTCTGGATGAAGAGTATTCCCTGCTTGAGAAGGATCTAGTTTCCCACTGGGTGCTGCTCCACTAAGCTACCCCAGTCTCATAAAATCACGCCTCATGAGCTTACCCTATCTGTCACTTTATAAGAAAGGAGTCCATCCTTGTAATTGGTGTGCATCAGCCTCTATCCCATATATTAAATGTGGGATTATAGGTAGTAGCGGTGTAAAGAGGTAGGTAGCAATTCTGAAGTTAAAATTTATTTCAGATACATAACTTCCTCTTTGCTCTAATCTTCTTACCCTTCCTCCTCACTTTCAGTGCATTTTCTATACTTCATCAAGAATGAACCTATGATTATGTGCTAGTGCTCACTGTGCATGGAGGTCCTCTTGCCCTCCTACTGATGGAGGGTTACAGAATTATGATGTTTACATCACAGGCTGATGCAATACACATAGACACATGTAGGGGTGGGTGTTTGTTGAAAGCTTATAGCATGCTCAGGTAATTCCATGGCACTTGCCTGAAAAGTAATAGCTGTTAGTGGTCCAGAGAGGTAGGTATCTTTGAGAAATACTTTTTCAGATAAGGAAAATGTTAATTTTCATCTGTTGTGTAGAACTCTAGAACTAAAACACAGATTGCTTAAAGTTATAAGAATAACACTGAAACATAGGTTTTTAATCTTTCAGATAGGACACCAAAGCTGAAACAGGATATTTAAAATTATAAGAGTAACATTAAAAAACATAGGTGTTAACCTTTTAGATATGACACCAAGGCTGAAACA